TACTTGCATATTTTTGCATGGTTTACTTTTATATTCTGCAATCTATTCTCTGTTATCTCTATAGGGTCCTTTCTCTTTGATAACAATGGCTATTCAAAAACGGTGACAAAGATTGGGGTGTAGTTTAGAGCACTTGTCTAGCATGCCTGAGATCTCATGTTTCATCCCTACTACACACATACACACACACACACACACACAGAGAGAGAGAGAGAGAGAGAGAGAGAGAGAGAGAGAGAGGAGGAGAGGAGAGAGAGAGGAGAGAGAGAGAGGTAAGAGAAGGGGAAGAGAGAAGAGAAAAGGGGGAATAGAAAGAAGAGAGGAGGAGAGGAGAGGAGAGGAGAGGAGAGGAGAGGAGAGGAGAGGAGAGGAGAGGAGAGGAGAGGAGAGGAGAGGAGAGGGGAAAGAGGGAGAATGTCTTTTGTCTCCATGGCCTCAGTCTGGGTGTATCTTCCTCTAGCCTCTTGCCTCCTATCACTACCTCAGCCCTACCTGTTCAGAGTTTCTTGGAAAGGGGAATAGTGAATAGAGGATTGGAGAGAGGTCAGTAAGGTGTGGTGTACAAACATGAAGACCCGAGTTCTGATCTCCAGGACTACATTTTTAAGAAGTGGGTGGGGGAAGTGCTAGAGAAGTGGCTTAGCAGGTTAAAGCTCTTGACACACAAGCTGGACAACCTGACATCAATTCCCAGGACCCACAGAGTAGAATGAGAGAACCAATCCCTGCAAGTTGTCCTCTGACCTCCAGATGCAAAGTGTGGCACGCAGTGTCACTCACATAATAAACAAATAAAGGTAATTTTAGAAGATTTTAACCAGGCAGTGGTGGTGATGCGTGCCTTTAATCTCAGCACTCAGGAGGCAGACACAGGTGGATCTCTGTGAGTTCTAGGCCAGCCTGGTCTACGAGAGCTTAGTTCCAGGACAGCTAAGGCTGTTACACAGAGAAACTTTGTCTCTAAAAACCAAAAAAGAAAGAAAGAAAGGAAAGAAAGAAAGAAAGAAAGAAAGAAAGAAAGAAAGAAAGAAAGAAAGAAAGAGGCTTGTGATCCCAACACTAGGAAGACAATAAGAAGGCAACAATTTGGGCCCAGGCTAGGGAAAGAGACCCAAGCACAGAGAAGGTTCTAAATTTCAGCACCACGGAGAGTGACACCAGCCCTTTTTCTACAGAATGAGAGACAGCAGCCTTTGTGTTGTCTCTTCTACCCTCTGCTCCCAGGCAGTCAAGTCCCATGTGGCCCAGTTTTCTTCCTCTCTTTTTCCCCTCCCTCCCTCCCTTCCTTCCTCCCTCCCTCCTTCCTTCCTTCCTTCCCTCCCTCCTTTCTTTCTGTTTCTTCCTTTCCTTCTTTCTTTCTAGTTTGAAGTCTATTTTGTTCGATATTAGGATAGCTACACCAGCTTGTTTCTTAGGTCCATTTGATTTTTTAAAAAAATCCCATCCCTTTACTCTGAGGTGATGTCTGTCTTTGAGGTTGAGTTGTGCTTCAGGTATACAGCAGAAGAATGGATTCTGTTTCCATATCCAATCTGTTAGCCTGTGCCTTTTTATAGGTGATTGCCAGGGATTGCTAGCTCCTGTTATTTTAGTTTTTGTTGTTGGTGATGTTATTGTGTGTTTTTTTTTCCTTCTTTGGGATTTGCTGCTGTGAGATCATCTATTACCTGTGTTTTTGTGGATGTAGCCACTTCCTTGGGTTGGAGTTTTCCTTATAGTACTTTGTGTAAGGCTGGGTTTGTGGCTAGTTATTGGTTAAATCTGGTTCTGTCATGGAATATCTTGTTTTGTCCATTTATGGTGATTGAAAGTTTTGTTGGGTATATTAGTCTGGGCTGGCATTCATGGTCTCTTAATGTCTGCGTAATGATTGACCAGGACCTTCTGGCTTTCATTGTTTCCATTGAGAAGTCAGAGGTAATTCTTACAGGTTTGCCTTTATATGTTACTTGGCCTCTTTCTTTTGCAACTTTTAATATTCTTTCTTTATTCTCTATGTTTAGTGTTTTGATTATTATGTGGTGAGGGGACTTTTTTTGATCCAGTCTATTTGATGTTCGGTAAGCTTCTTGTATCTTCATATGCATATCTTTCTTTAGGTTGGGAACGTTTTCTTCTATGATTTTGTTGAATATATTTTCCGTGCTTATGAGTTGAACTTCTTTTCCTTCTTCTATCCCTATTATTCTTAGGTTTCATCCTTACATGGTATCCCATATTTCCTGAATATTTTGTGTTAAGCTTTTGTTAGATTTAATGTTTTCTTTGACAGATGAGTCTATTTCCTCTGTTGTATCTTCAGCGCTTGAGATTCTCTCTCCCATCTCTTGTATTCTGCTGTTTATGCTTGCATTTGTGGTTCCTGATCATTTTCTCATAAATTCCATTTCTATCATTCCCTCCATTTGTGTTTTCTTTATTGTCTCTATTTCAGTTTTCATGTCTTGAATAGTTTTCTTCATCTATCTGATTGCTTTTTCTTGGTTTTCTTTAAGGGATTTGTTGATTTCTTCCAATTTTTGTTTGTCTTTTCCTCCGTTTCTTTGAGGGAATTTTTTATTTCCTCTTTAATGGCCTCAAATATTCTCCTAAAGTTATTTTTTAGGTCATTTGCTTCTGCTTCATTTATATTTAGTTCAAGTCTTGCTGTTGTAGGTCCACTAGTTTTTATTGGTGTCATATTGCTCTTTGTGGTATTGAGTGAGTTCTTACCTTGTCTACCCATCTTTTTCTCTGAATGGTATAGTTGAAGCTGTGTCTCTGGTTGTCAATCTTCCAGGTGCCAGTGGATCCAAGGCTCAGGTGGTTGCTCCTCATGGTGCAATCAGAGCCACAGTTCCAGTCACCCCAGAGGTCACTCAGTGTTTCTGGAGGTCACTCAGCACTCCCAGGGGTTGCTCTGCAATACTGGTGGTCATTCGTGCCTGCTCCCACAGAGATTGCTTGCTTAGGGTTGCCACTGAGGTCACTGCCTTGGGCCTGCTCTAGCAGAGGTCGCTGGCTCAGGCCTGCTCTGGTGGAAGTCACTGGTGTGGACCTGTTTTGGTGGAGAGGTCACTGATCCATGCCCAGTCCCACAGAAGTCTCTGGTTCGGGCCTGCTCCTTTAGTGGTGACTCCCTTGGACCTGCTCCTATGGAGGTCATTTCCTGGGGCCTGCTCTGGCTGAGGTAGTTGACTTAGGCCTGCTCTGGCAGAGGTTGCTGGTTCAGGTCTGTTCCCACAAATGCCCCTGGCTCAGGCCTGCTCCCTCGGAGGTCCCTGATTTGCTCGTGCCCCACAGAGGTCTCTGGCTTGGGCCTGTTCCCTCAGTGGTTGTTCCCTTGTACCTCCTCCTATGGAAGTTACTGCCTCAGGCCTTCTGGGTGGGGGTTGCTGGCTTGAGCCTGCTCCTGTGGCCTTCTTTCTTTCTTTTTTGGTTTTTCCAAACAGGGTTTCTCTGTGTAGTACTGACTGTCCTACAATTTGTTCTGTAGACCAGGCTGGCCTTGAACTCAGATATCTGCTTCCCTCTGCCTCCCAAGTGCGTGGATTAAAGGAGTGCATTATGCCACTTTTTTTTTTTACACACATACATTTATTTAAGCCAGGTATCATGGCACATGACTTTAATTCCAGCACTTGAGAGGCAGTGGCAAGTGTATCTATGAATTTAAGGCCAGCTTGGTCTATAAGGCTACATGAGACCTGTTTTTAAAAACCCAAAATATATTTATTATTGTGTTTTATGGTGTGGGTAGGGGCACACATGTCACTGCACATGTGTGGAGGCCAGACAACAAGTCTGTCCAGTCAGTTCTTCCTTTCTGCCTTTATGTGGGTTCCAGGAGTCAAACTCAGGTCGTCAGGCTTGCTCAGCATGTGCCTTTGTCTTCTGAGGCCTCTTGCTGGCCTGTGGCTCAGTATTCAAAAGCTGAATTTTTAGTATACAATTAGCCCTCAATAAATGTGCCCAAAGAGATGTATTCACATAAGATATGTATAGCCAAAAGTGTATGAGAAGACATTCAACCTCACTGGGTCACTAAAAAGATACAAATCAAAGCCACCACCTCTTTATAGCCGTAAGTGTGGCTACAGGTGAAAGCAATACAAACTAAACCGTTGTGTTGTCAAGGCTATGGAGCTACTGGAGCCTTCATACGACGCAGGTGTGGACGGGAAATGGTGCAGCTGCTGGGGAAAACCATCTGGTAGCTGTTCAGGAAGCGAAATGGAGAATTAGAATATGACCTAACCATCCTACTCCCGCGTATGTGCCCAAAAGAGTTTAAAATAAGTCTTCTGCGAGCACTCGTGAGTTGGCACAGCAGCCCTGTTCACAGCAGCTGGAAGGTGGGAGCTCTAGTTTGCTTTCTGTTGCTGTGATCAACACCACAGCCCAAAGCAGCTTATGGGAGGAAAGGGTTTATTTGGCCATCATCATGGAGGGGAGTCAGAGGCAGAAACTGAAGCAGAGAATTTGGAAGGAGGCTCCTGACTGGCTCACTCCCCATGACTCATTCAGCTTGCTTTCTTATACAATCCAGGATCACCCATCCAGGGTTGAGCCACCCACAGTGGACTGGGCACACATCAATCATTAATCAAGAAAATGCCCCACAGACAAGCCTGCAGGACAATATGATGGACTCAATCTCTCGATCCCTCTTCCCAGGTGTCTCTAATTTGTGCCAATTGACAAAACCTGTCTAGCACAGTGGGAAATATTCAAGTGCCCTTCATGGGTGGGTGCACAGAGCCGTGTGTCCATCAGAGGTACAAAGATCCATACGCCCATCAATGGTGGTATCCAAAGATCCATATTGCATTTTGAAAGACAAACATCTTTCAAAAGATCTCTAGCTAGACTCCTTCAGGATCAATTTCCAAGCCATTCCTCTTCCTCACATTAACAGTCCAGGGTCTCTGAGATTCTGGGCTAACTATCACCCCAAGAGCCTGATGAGTGGGTGGCTCAGCCTACAAGCTCCTCCTTCCCTCGTCCCTTGCCCCTTGCAGATACTGGCTGAACTATGAGTCCTACCTGCTGGAGAATTCCAAGGAGACTGTGGACAAGCCTTTTGTTAAGGCCTTGATTCAGAACGTCAGCACAGACATCTCAGAAGACCTGCTCTTCTCTCTGACGCCCTCCAAGGTGAAGAGCTTCCTGGTGGCTGGCTCAGGACTCTGTGGTATCCATCAAAGCTTACCCCTCCTGAGCCAGGGTGCTGGGAGATTCCTGAACTGGCCCCCCTTCTCAGCCCTTGATGTCCTCATAAAGTCTCCTTTCTCCCAGAGGCCTTGGGTGCTCATCTGGAAGATGAATCTCTGGCACCTCCAAGCCTAAAGTGCCCACTAACCTCTCTACCAGAGCACACATCTGAAGTCAGAGTAAGGGCACACTTGACCTCAGAGCAACTGAACAGGAGGGAAGGCTGTAGATTTACACTGTCCCAGGGTAAATTTCGTCTGCCCTTAGCCATGGTCATTGTGGGTACACTACTTTTCTGACCCTCCATTTTCTTGCCTATAAATAGTGAGAATATTGCCCACTTTCAAGAGATCAGAAGCCAGGCAGAATGATGCACACTCATTCTCCTGGTACTCAGGAGGCAAAGGCAGGAGGATTGCTCCTGAGTTTTGGGCAAACACAGGCTATCCAGATGGCCTCTGTCTCAAAAACAACAGAACAAAAACATATTGGAAAGAGCATCTGACTTAATATCCAAGGAATTCTTGGTCCAGCAAGGGCTCAGCAAGTCCTCAGTCTTCCCTCAGGGATGAAGTTGAGGGCAGAGGTCCGGGCATCTTACTGAGTTCCTCATCACACAACATCCTCAGCCATTTATGATGCTGTACCCTCTGGGTAGGGTATGCACTGACCCAAGGCATCACCCACATGTCCTTTTGACAAGATCTGGACTAGGAAAGTGAAACTGGGGCTTCAACCCCAGCTCTTCCCATGAGCATGGACCCTTCTGAAGCAGGGAACTGGCAGGTGCAGGCTGAGGCCCCAGGGTACCCAGGAGGCCAGAGACTAGACAAAGCATGCCCGGTGATTTCTGGGGAGGTTTGTTCTAACATTCTAACTATGCTCGGTTCCTATAACACTTCACTGTTGGGCAGGAAGGTCTTCACACTCAAGGTGAATACAAGTCTCTTGCACACCAGGGAAAGCTTCTTTCCAGGATGCCCTCCACTGGCCCTCACCACACTTAAAAGCAGAGCATGGTTGCACCAACACAGTCACGCTCAGCTGGTCCCTGGGATGGGGAAGCTGGGCTCCACTGTTGATGCCTGTCCAAGGGCCTAGTCCACAAGAAGCAGAGCCTCCACCCCAGAACTAAAAGTCCTCAGATGCTGCCCCTTCTCCCGACATGCTGCAGCTTCTCTCCCAACAGGGATAGTAGCACCACCTGAGTGGGGGCTAGAATCCTCCAGGTAATGGAGGGGCTTCTGGGTCCATGGTTACAGATCCCAAAGCAGGTGATGCAGGGTGAGGTCCAGCCCACTGACAGAGTCCGACTTCCCAAGAGCCTGTTTGGAGCCCTCCTGCCTGGCAACAGGTCTGCCGTCCGGTTGGCCATAACTGTTCTGGACATTGGTGCGGGGAATGTCTTCAAGGTAAGAGGCCTGCCGGGAGCTCAGGAAGCTGCAGTTAAATACTCAGTGGGCCAGAGTCCCTGGGATGTTTCTCTAAGGCAGCTAGGTCATCTAAGAGCCATTTCTACAGTCTGTGGACTGAAGATGATTCTGATATCCTGACATCAGTAGCTGTTGGCTGTGTAGGAAGTCCAAGTGGGCTCATGCATGCTCGTGTGTCCTTGCACATGCATAAACACACTTTGTATTCCTGAGAACATATAATCAGGTGTGCTCAGATATGACTGTCCACAAGGGCCAAAATGCTCTCCCTGGACAACGCGTGCCAGACGGCGCTCCTGAGGCATGCACCCATCCGCTTAAACTTAGCCTCAAGCTCTTCCGGTTCAGAGATGTCAGGGGTTGGCTTTCAGCAAGGTGATAGGGAGCCTAGATCCCAGTTCAGCCTAGCTCAGCATGTTATAGGGGGCAGCAGGAATATGGCTGCCTATGCCCCTGGGTCGCTGGATCCCTGCTCCCCTAGTTTCAGGCTTTGACTCCAAGTGAGGGGGCGACCTAGAGTTCTCTAGCTAGGGCAGGTAAGGTCAGCCCCTCCTACAGCCTAGCCTCCTGCTACTGCCTCCCAGGGCCCCAAGCTCCTCCAGGACAACGGCAACAGCGTGTTGAACAACCGCATGGTGGGCCTGAGTGTGGGCCAGACACACGCCACTGGGCTATCGGAGCCAGTGGAGATCACCTTCTCCCACCAGCGTCAGCCACCTGTGAGTCTTCTGCCCAGGCCTGGCAGTTCCCAAAGGGCACACAGCACCTGAACTCTGAGAAGCCATGCATGGGCCTTGCACCCTTTACCTAGAAGAAACCATCAGGGTCGTGCAGAGTTATGCCCAAAGACATCTGTGTGCCCTGCCCATGTGAACATACATGCCCCATAGTGTCCCATCTCCGTGTTCATAAATGTGTGTGCGTGCTTCCACACTCAGCAGGCAATGGTCCTGAAGGTGTGTGTGCACAGACAGGCAAACCCTCTTATGTGTGCCGTGTTTACTGTATTTCCCACACGCACAGCAACTGTTCAGGGAGCACGGATTCCCAGGCATGCAATCTCCCCGTGTAGCCTACAGAGGTCTTCCTCTTAAGGCACATGTAGGCCCCGGGAGCACCCTGTCTCCTCCCTACCTCCCCCTCCTTCCTTTCCTGACTTGTACTCTCTGGTTTCAGAATATGATCCTCACTTGTGTATTCTGGAATGTGGTTAAAGGTAGGTCTGGAAGACTTCTCTAGAATGAGAAAAAAAGGAAGCTACATGCTCCCATAGAGCTGAAGGTGAGGGTAGAGGCGGGTCCTCCCTTCCCTCTTCTTCTCCCCCCCACCCCCGCCCTTACTTTCCTGTGGCCCCCAGGAGACTGGGATTCCCAAGGCTGCTCCACGGAGCTCGGGGATGAGAGGACTGTCTGCCGCTGCGACCACTTGACCTTCTTCGCCTTGCTGCTGGTAACAGCCCATGCCCTCCTGATCTCAGAGGTCCAGCCTCTGTCCTGGGAGAGGCTTCCTGGCTGGCTGGGGTTTGGGAGATGTGCGGACCTGGCCTTTCAGTGATGTGATGTGGACTTGGGGTCATCTACAGAGGCCGACCTTGGACCTGGCCACAGCACAGACCCTCACTCGCATCTCCCAAGCAGGCTGTGGAGTCTCCATGATCTTCCTGGCCTTCACCATTGTTTTCTATGTTGCCCTCAGGTGAGTGGCCCCACCCCCTTTTTCTCATGCCCTCAGGGAGGTAAAGGAAAGGGATAAAGTATCTTTGTCCTGTGGCCTCACCTGGTGGTCCTCTCTGGTCCTGAGTCTGCTAGTTGACAAGGTGGGACTAGCATTTGAAGTTGGAAGTAGAAGAAATTCAGCTCAAATGAGCGAACACAGGGCATGATTGATTCAAAAACTCACCTCCTGTGGCCCAGGCAGGGCTAGAACTAGGGGCTCCACCCAAGGCCGCAGGGGTTGGCCCTACCTTCCACAGCTTTTCTCTCTCTTTTGTCAGGATGCTAATTTCAGCCTTTTCCTCAAGAACGGCTCCTTAGATATTCAAGCAAAGATGAAGCTCCAAAATTGAGGTCTTTAAAAGCAAACATTTTGAAATAATTATAGACTAACTGGAAACTGCAAAAATAGCACAGACAGTCTGTGGCTCCTTCCCGGAACTTCCCCAAGTATGTCATATGTAACTGTAGAGTATCATCAAAGCCAGGAAGCTGTCAGTGGCAGAATATGGTTAAGTAGTCTCAAGACCCCTTCAGTTCCACTGCTTTAGACATCATCAATATGTGCATGCATGCATGTGTGTTGCATGCAGGCAGGGATGCATGCATGTGTGTGCATGCAAGTGCATGCATGTATGTTTGTATGCCCACATCCACACTGGAATGGGGATACAATCTGCCTCAATGAAACTACTTGGCTCCTGTCAGAGTATTCAAAGTTGCAGCAGAAGGCTGAACACTTCTGTAGGTTCAGAACTCTGGGGGTCACACTTCTATGTGTATGCATCTTTACCTCATGAATATCTAGTTGTTTTAGGGTCTGACTTTGATCACAGGCAATGACCCAGGCCACAATGGTCACAGGGTAGAATGTACAGGCCTGCCAAGCCATTTGACTACTCTTGGATTAAAATGGCAAGAGACTAACCACCACCTTCCTAGTTCCTCGTGGCTGAAGGTGGGAAAGAGTACCCCTTCAGGGACATGCAAGTTTCTCCAGCAAGGAATAGGCATGGGACAGGACACAAGGGACAGATAGCCCTGCCACCTGGCTCTTCTGAGTCAGACTGTAGCAAAGACACCCCATACCTGCTGACATGGAGGAACCTGTGAGATAAGCCTCTGTCCCAACCTTTCCTAACCTCAGCTCCTGGAGCCCAAGCTCACTGGAACCCACTGGGAGCATTTTTTGACCTTCCATCTTTCCAGTCCATGGACCCTCTGTCTTTCTCATGTGCCTCTGTCACCGAGTAGCCCTGGGCTTCAGCCCTTGTGTGCCGCACCCACGCCATCCCTCCCCTTTCCCACCCCTCCAAGCACTGGCCTAGAACACAGTCCCTAGCCTGTTCCCATTCTCAATGAGCTGAGTGTACCTCACCAGCTAACCATGCTGCTGGATCCTTGAGCAGACCCTGGAGCGCTAGAGGAAACGGTTGCCGGCTCCCAACACCGGAGCCTAGCAGCTTAGGTAGACATGCCTCTTATCTCCACTCCAGAAAACTGTAGGCTCTGACTCTCGAGTGGGAGCCCTCCTGGTCTTTATCTGCTAGGAATTCAGAGTGGCAAGAAGCCCCACAGAGAAGCAGGGCACACTGGCTGGGTAGAGACTCTGGGACCCTGAGCAAGTCTCTGGCCTTCCCCCAGCCCTGCTCACTGCTACATTCTAGGCCTCACCAGTTTGCCCACATCTGCTCGCCCAACTCACATACCCAGAGCTTTCTGCCCCCTGTGCAGGGCCCTGAGGCCCAGCATGGGTGGATCCCCTGTGGGGAGGTAGCAGAGAATTTCACTGCTACTGGGAAATACCTGCATGGTCAAGCCTGGGAGACACAAGAAAACAAACTCCGTCATTGTTGCAAGTTCCATGGCTTAGCCAAGCAATGTGTCAGAAGGTGAGGCTGGCAGGACCCAGCGCCCACACAACCCAGAGAGCCAAGAAAGGCCTTGTGGATTTGAACCTGAGTCCCCTCTGTATGCTATGAATATGTTTTATTACCATTGGTTATTAAAGAAGCTGTTTCAGCCAATGGCTTAATAGAGTAAAGCCAGGTGGAAACCTGAACAGAGATGAAGAGAGAGAGAGAGGGAGAGAGAGAGAGAGAGAGAGAGAGAGAGAGAAAGTTGGCTGAGTTGAGGAGACACCATTTAGCTGCTGAAGGAGACAGACACCCAGAACCTTACCAGTAAACCATGAGCCTCATGGTAAAATACAAAATAATAGGAATGGGTTAAGATATAAGAGTTAGTTAGTAAGAAGCCTGAGCCATTGGCCAAACTGTTGTAATTAAACTTTTTGTGTGATTATTTGGGTCTGGGCGGCTGGGAGACAAACAAGCAGTCTAAGCCTACAACTAACCACTGGTAAAGATGGAAAGTGAATGGTCAGTCAGGAGCTGGCCATGAGGGTCATAGCAGCTACATATGGAACTGTGGCTGGGAGATAGACCAATCTGGGCACCCCAGGTAAGCTGTGGTTCCTTGGGGCTGCTCCCTGGCCCTTCTCTCCCAGGCTCTCTCTGCAGAGGTTCAAGTCTGAAGATGCCCCTAAGATCCACATGGCTCTGAGCAGCAGCCTATTTCTCCTGAATCTTACCTTCTTGATCAGTGTGGGGAGCAGCTCTCAAGGCTCCCCATCTTCCTGCGGGGTCCGAGCTGCCATCTTCCACTACTTTCTGTTGTGTGTCTTCACCTGGATGGGCCTGGAGGCCTTCCACCTCTACCTACTGGCCATCAGGGTCTTCAATACCTACTTTGGACACTACTTCCTGAAGCTGAGCCTGCTGGGATGGGGTAAGCACAGGCTGGAGGGGTAGGAGTCAGGTTAGAGGGCTAAGGAGGTAGAACCCATGGAAGCCCAAAGCTTGCGGGATGGATGGCTGCAGGGCTTTGAGACGAGCTCACCCAAGGGAGCACTGGTGATGCCCACCTCCTCCCCTTGTCCCAGGCCTGCCTGCTCTTGTGGTCATTGGTGTGGGGAGTAGCAACAGTTACGGTGTTTACACTATCCGTGACCAGGAGAACCGCACCTCACTGGAACTGTGAGTGGGGCTGTGGGGGACAGAGGGTGTGGAGGACTTTGGTTTCCTGGGAGGGAGAGAATGAGGGGAGGGGGCCTTAGGAGGAGAACGACATGCTAAGGATGTTCAGATCCAGCTGACTTGTGACACAGGAGGCAAATGGAAGTCTGGAGTCAGAAAGCGAAATAAGGGACGCAGTCCAGGAAAGATGGGGCAGTAGTGGGGGGGGCATCTTCTGTCACTGAAGATCAGCCAGGGAAGCTTCCTGGGGCTCAATGGACAGGGGCTTCCTACTCAGCCCCAGCGGCTGTCCTCCTCCTCCTCTTCCTTCAGGTGCTGGTTCCAGAAAGAACCTGCTCTTTATGCCACCGTCCACGGCTACTTTCTTGTCAGCTTCCTCTTTGGAGCTGTGGTGCTGGCTCTGGTGGCCTGGAAGATCTTCACGCTGCCCAGTGTCACAGCGGGCAAAGAACAGGGGCAGACCTGGAGGTCGGTCTTCACTGTTCTGGGTCTCTCGAGCCTGGTGGGCATGACCTGGGGGCTGGCTGTGCTCACGCCCCTGGGGTTGTCCACCATCTACATCTTCGCCCTCTTCAACTCGCTGCAAGGTGAGGCTGTCTCGTCGGCACCAGGGGTACCTGGGGGTCAGGGAGAGCACTTTCCAGGACACAGGATCCCACAGAAACCAGCTCAAGTCAAAGGTGCTAATTTTGGATATGCAAGACTCCTGTGGGATTCAGGGCAGCAATAGTGCCTGGTGTCACTGGGGCCAGGATCAGGAAAAGCCACATAAATCAAAGCAGATATTCCCACCTTCTGTTCTGGAGCTGAGTGTTGTCTCCTACCTAGGCTCTGTGGCAACTCAGTCTCTCTCTGCTTTCCAAAATGACTGCCTAACATAACTCTTTCAAGCCTCTGAATTAGGTGACCACTGCTAGTCCTAACCAGTCTTATCTAGGAAGGCAGGGTCACGTGATTCTACAGGACATAGAATTCTAAAGAAGTTTTTAAATGTATTTAATTTTTTTAAAAATTGCTACAACAAAATGCCCAACAAAAGCAGCTTGCTAAAGGCCTCCCCTTGGCTCATGTCTCACGAGTGCAGACCCTGTGATGGGGAAGGCGTGATGCAGCTGCTCACATCATACCTGTATCAGGACACGGGAGAGAGACAGTGCTGGCACTTACTCTCTCTTTCTAATTATTAGAATTGTATTGGTTTATTTATTTGTGCATGAATGCATGCACATGTGGCGGTCAGAGGAAACCTGTGGAAGTCGGTCCTCTCCTTCCACCATGTGGTCCCAGGTATTGAGTCCCTGCCGTCGAGTTTTCTGGCAAGCACCTTTACCGCTGACCCTCGAGATTTCTTCCAGGCCCTTGGAATGGTGCCCCCTACTTTTAGGGTGGGTCTTCCCACCTGAATCAACTTGATCCACAAAATCCCTCAGAGGCACGCCTAGGGGGCTTGTCTCCTAAGTGAGTCTAGATTCTGTCAAGGGGACAGTGTTAATCATTGCCCCCCCCCCAACTCCACCAGACAGTCAGTACTTCTCATCCTCACTCATCTCTAAGAGTAGCATTGTCCCTTCCTCAGCCCAGTTTTCACAATGGATGCATGCGTGCGTGGGACCCAGGAGGTCTTTGATGAGCTGGCATATCACCAGCATCCTGAGCCAGAGGCCTGGCTTCCTCTGGAGAGCGTACACAGTCACTTGCCCACCCAACCAGATAAAACAGAAAAGGGGACACTGAGAATAGCTACCCTGGAGGAGGAGGAGGAGGAGGAGGAGGAGGAGGAGGAGGAGGAGGAGGAACAGCATCCTCGGCCCTGACTTCAGGGTGATGTCAGCCTTAGCCTGGCACACGGAGGAAACAAAAGACTGGGCAAGCGGCATGCACAGTCAGGACCTTGTTAATCATTACCTTAGAACAGTTATTCAGGGAGCTGTCTGCAGTGAGAAAGTGCTCCCACCTTGGAGTAACCTTAACTTTTGTCACAAGATGCTCATTGGTTAGACGCACTCTTCCAAGAATCCAAGGCGACTACAGGAGAGGAAGACAGGGGGGAAGAGTGTTAGGACCGTGTGTCGGGCTGTGACTGTCGAGACAGCCAGCACTGCTCCCCTGCTTGGGAACAGGACCCTGCAAAGGCTGCTGATTAATAATCTACTGATTACATCAGCCTTGAGGGAGGATTGCCATTTTAGACGTACACTCCTTAAACGTTCAGCATGCCTGTGTACACAGCTGAAGTACCCAGTTTAAGGTAGGGAAGGAGAGATCCGCCAAGCTTCTACTCTGGGTTTGGTTACATGCTGGCATCTGCTGGTCCAGGTGAAGATCCGTGCTGTTAGCCAAGCCTCTAATCTTTAGGGGCACCATACTGGCTGCAGTAGAAGCCACATACCACAGACACTCTCACGTTAAGGTCCTAGCTTTAAGTTTGATACATGTATGTATGTGGGGTGTGGGCAAAGAAAGGGACCATGGGAAGGAAAAAGGTTTAAAGGAAGAGTGTGGGGAGAAGGAAATGGAATACGTAGAGCATGAGAGTAGATAGGGACTGCTGGGGTGAAAGGTACAAGCTGGGAGACAGAGGTGGAGAGAGAGAGAGCACCCAAAATAAATTATGTATGAAAAAGCCATGGTGAGTACCTGGAGAGGTGGTTCAGTGGCTGAGAGCATTGGCTGCTCTTCCAGAGAACCCAGGTTTGGTTCCCAGCAGCCACATGGCAGCTCACGACCTCTTAACTCCAGTTCCAGGGAAGCAAGTGCCCTCTTCTGGCACTGGGCACTCTTACATGCAGGCACAAATGCTCATATGCATAAGATAAAAACAAATCTTTTTCTTAAAGAAAATGTTACAGTAAAATCTATTTCTTTGTATGTTAACTAAAACGATAAATAAAAAATGGGCGGGAGAGATGGGTCAGTGGGTGAGAGCATTTGCTGCTATCATAGAGAACCTAGGTTCAGTTTCCAGTGCCCTCATGGGAGGTCACAACCATCTGTAATTTCAGTTCCAGTGAATCCAGTACCTATAGCTTCCACAGATACCTGGTCCACATACATACATGTAGGTAAAACCCTCATATATATGAAAAGTAAATTTTTAAAAAACAATATACAGACACAGACACATACACACAATTGCTTTAGGACTATCTGAGATAGTCTCCAGATAAATACTCATTAGTTCATATTTGGACTATCCCAGAGGTTTGGAATTGGGGAGAGAGGCATCTTGAACTAAGAGATGACATCATTATTTTTCGCTTGTTTGCTTTATTTTGTTTTTGAGACAGGGTTTCTCTGTGTAATGACTCTGGCTGACCTAGAACTTTCTTTGTAGACCAGGTTGACCTCAAATTTTCAGGGATCCGCCTGCCTCTGCCTCCTGAGTGCTGAGATTAGAGGTGTGCGCCATCACCACCGCCTGGCTAATCTCACTATTCTTGCACGGGCCACACTAATATTGAAGCCTGCGTGTCTCACTCTGATGAGTCTAAGTTATTTGGTTTTTCCACCTTCCTCCACGTACAACAGACAGAGCCCTTGGTACCATTTAGTGTCTCAATATGGCTACCATTATGTGGTGTTTTCATTATGAATTCCCTTCAGACACACAGTGGTACTTCCCAGTCAATTCTGTACTTCCTCTAGTTTTTATACGCTACTACGCCTTCCCTTTTCATCCTGCTGGCAGGCACCCTCTTGCCATCCTTCACAGGAGGATGGTGGGGAGCGCGGTGTGGGGAGCGCGGTGTGGGGAGCGCGGTGTGGGGAGCGCGGTGTGGGGAGCGCGGTGTGGGGAGCGCGGTGTGGGGAGCGCGGTGTGGGGAGCGCGGTGGGGCAGTGGCGTTGGTTTATATAGCTGGGAATGCCTCTGTTTTGCTCGTCCTTTGCTGTGGTAGGTGTGTGTGGAGATTATCTCAAGGCCGGTGTTTGTGGTCTCTAAGGTTTTATTTGGTTCTCTTTCAGGAGTAGATTCCATTTTACCTAATTCTTTCATCGAGTGCCTGACTTTAGAGTGGAGCCCCTGCTTTGTTGCAGCCTGTTCCAGGCTCACTGAAACCCTCTCTTTACCACAGGCGTCTTCATCTTCTGCTGGTTCATCATCCTCTACTTCCCGAGGCAGAGCACCACAGCCCCCTCCTCCGGCACTGCCCGCCTTGGCCAGGCCCACTCCATGTCACAGGAGTAGGTGACTGAAGTGTACTCTCACCTCCAGCTGGGTTGCGTGACCTCAGACAGCTAGCTCCCCCTACTTCCTTCTGGGTTCCGTTGCCTTCTCTATACAGGGTGTCTGAGGAGGAAGAGAACGGAGACCACGCTGAACCATATGACTTCGAAGCTCCCATTCAGAGGGCTGGAGATAGATTGATGGCTTGAGGAGGACACTGGTTCAGCTCCCAGCACCCACACGCTGGCTCACAACTGTCTGGAATTATAGTTCCAGGAGCTCTGATACCTCTTCGGGTCTCCAAGGGCACCAGGCATGAAGGTGCTGTATACACATATAAGTTGGCAAAACACTCATACACATGAAATAGATATTAAAAAACATTTTTAAAAGCTCCCATTCTGATGTGTTCGTGGGTCCAAAAAGCTGCAAAAGCAGATTTGCAGGAGAGTCCCTATTAACCTGAGACCAACCACTCTGGCAGAGTGTCATCTTTACCCCTGCTGCCATGGAGACGGATCTCTACATCTAAGCAGCTGTTTTTAGCCATGGACCACCTCTCATCTCACTGAGAGCCTAGGCCAAAGAGAGGAAACTTGGTGAAGCCCCTGGAAGAAACTCCAGTCTTTCGTGTTCTTTTCCTGCCACTCCCACTACAATCCCCCCTTATAGCTGCCTGTCTGTCCATCTTTCCCAGCCCCCCGGGACATTCACAGGCCATTGTTCCGTATGTGTCAGGGGAGCAGAGGGCTCGAGGTTTCTTTGGGGGCTTTGATGGTCTTCTACCTACTCTACCCTCATCTTTGCTCCCTAGTCGGAGCTCATCCTAACTGCAATGACTGCACCATTGAGGGCTGAGGTCCTTCTAAGTGCTCAGGACACTTTCAGAGAATGCCCCTCAGAGGGTGAGCTTCCAGGAACACCCACACTCACACCACTTGACTGCCAGGTGGGAGATCTGAATCTGACCTGCTGCCTGCTGTCATTGTTGGGGCACAAGTTGAGGTCCAGAACTGGAGCCATGCCTGCTCCATCCACGTTAGTGCATGTGGTCAAGGTGGGGAAGGGAGAAGAGGCCACCCTTTCCACAATGTCCAACTCCTATAAGCAGGGACCTAGACAGCCTTGTCCACTGTTTCCACCCAGCCTGAGCAGCAGGCCTTCCCACATTAAGCCAATAATTGTCGCACATATTTTAATAAACAAATACTCGTTGGTTGAGCAAATGGATGTATGTGTTTGCATAAAGCTGACAGATTCCTGGAGAAGGGGATGCTTCAGGCAGGACTCAGGTTAAGGATGTGGCTTTCGGTGGCTCAGCCTTCATTTCTCAACCACAGCTTTCTTCTGTAGCTTCAGAGGCCTTGAAAGAGAAATGGGCCAGCACTGCCACCTGCAGCCTGAGGAGGTTCCTTATCCTCGATTTTGTGGAAGAAAGGAATTTCTGTAGAGCCAGCGTGAAGCATGTTGTTAAAGAGAGAGCGTGTGTGTGTGTGTGTGTGTGTGTGTGTGTGTGTGAGAGAGAGAGAGAGAGAGAGAGAGAGAGAGATATTTAAATGTAGATTTAAACAGGGGAGCTAGAAGAGGCACTCAGGAAAGGGATAGGTCACACCTGAGCATGTGAGTGTGGCTTCTCAAGAGAGCCTCTAACTTCAGGTCCTGACAACTGCCATTGATACATGTGTGATCTGAGTGGCTCTCAATTGACAGCTCAAGCAGTTGGTGAGTAATTTCTTTTCTTTTCTTCTCCCTTTCGGATAAATGAGATTATACAGTTTCTCCAGCGATGCCTTGCAGGACTGTTATCTGGTCAGGTAAAACCGTGGGTCACAGGCTGCACAGGGGGTTAAGATGTACCTGTTACTGAAAATGGGGTTCCTAGAAAGCTGCCCATTTCTCGTTGGGAAAGGGAAGCTGTCATACATGATCAGGACTGGAGCACAGTTCATTGCTAGGCTGACATTCTTTGAAATCCCTCTGAGAAGAGAAACCACTGTGCTGTGTGGGCCGCCAGCCGTCACAGCAAACGTTCATCGTGCTGGGACGTTTGACTCTCAGCTGTCAAGAGTCTTCAATCAGACTCCAGCGTGAGGGGCTCCTTTCCCTCCTGTGTCTCCTTAATTCCCCCTCTTTCTCCGGCCTCCATGAGAAGCAAAAAGCAGCAGAAATAATAGAGCCAGATCTGGTAGGTTACCCCAATAATCTCAGCCCTCAGGAGGCAACGGTGGTATCATCCTAAATTCAAGGCTAGCTTAGGATACATAGTGAGACTTTGCCTCAAAAAACAAAGAAAATAATAATGGAGGTGTGGAACAGGGCTAATCTTCATTGTCTACTTGGCTGCATCCGATATCAACTAAAATCAACTTGTAAAGGATTTTTCTAGGTCATATTAGTTGAAGCAAGAAGACCCACCCTAAGTGAGTGTCACCTTCTGGTCCCAGATAAAAGGACAGTGAAGAAAAGCTTTTTGCCTGCTTGTCCCCACTCTCCCTGGCAAACTCATCTCCTGTCGCTGTGGGGTTCTTCAGCTGATACTAGCACCAGTGTGGACTGAAGACCATCAGCTCTCCAGGAACCTTCACCGCCAGATTGGGGCTGCTGAAACATTCAGCAATTTCCGTATTCTCAGCCTCTCTAACGTGAGACAGCCATTGTTAGGCTGCCTGTACCGGCTCCTTCCTGTAAGCCACTCTAACAATCCCACGTATATTCATTTATCGGTTCTCTTCCTTTCGAGAACTCTGACTAAAATGAGAGGGAAAGGAGCAATGGTGAGCGCCCCACCCCTGCCCTGCTGTGGCCTGCAGAGTACCCCTTACCTCCCAGGGCTTTCTGTCTACCTAGATTTCTGTGCCCCTCATTACCCATTCCCAGTAGGCCAGTATAGATGTCTAGACTAAAGGCTGCCAGCCCCTTCCTGCCCAACTGGAACATCCTTGTCGCCTGACTTCTGGCTAGTAAGAGGAAGGAAGGCAAGAAGGCTGCTGTTGAATTCTGGGAAAGGATCCCATGCTTTGGTGTGTGTTGAGCCGCAGTTTGTTTCGGAGGACAGGCTTGGGGCCTTTGGGTCTTACCGTCACAGGTGTTTCTCATGCATCGGAGCTAATGATAGAGTTGTCTTAGAAACTGGAATCTTGACTCTGCTGCTCAGGAGTCGTGTGACACTGGGCATGTGGCCCCACCTCTCAGAGCCTAGGCCTTGCCTCACCTCAAATAGGCATTATAGAGTTCCTGCTCTGTCCTGAGAGGTTTGTGGCAAAAATAGATAGCCGGCCCTGATTCCTATTGACACCCCCTTCCCTCCTCCACCACCACTTAAAGAACTGGCCAAGGGTGTTGCAATGTGGAAATAGAGTCAGAGAGGGACAACAACCTGTCCACTCAACACCCCTCCACAGGTTGGACTGAAGCCAGGGTGGCACCTGTGGGTGCCGGCTCCTCCCAGGACCCTTCCTGGATGCATGGGATACACATGCATGTAATCCCAGCACTCAAGAGCGTGTGGAACCAACAAAAAGGCAGTGGGCAATGCCGAAGGAGATTGTGGGGCAGGGGGATGGCAGGTTTCAGGTGAGCCTGGCTATTGTGGGGATTTAATGAGAATGGGCTACCTAGTCTCATATATTTGAATGCTTGGTCCTTAGTTAAAGAACTATTGGAAGGGTTAGGAGGTGTGGCGTTGTTGGAGAGGGTGTGTCACTAGGAGTAGGCTTTGAGGTTTCAAAAGCCCATGCCAGGCCCAGTGTCTCTTCCCCCAGCCCTCCTGCTTCCTGCGAATCAGGATATAAAGCTTTTGGCTACTGCTTCAGCCCCATGCCCGCCTGCTTCCCACCACGATGATCACGTACTCACCCTCTGAAACTGTAAGCAAGCCCCAATTAAATGTTTTCTCTTATAAGTGTTGCCTTGGTCACAGTGTCTCTTCACAGCAATGGAACACTCACTAAGACAGGTACATTGCAAGACTCTGTCTCAGAACTATCTCCACGTCCCCACCCTGGAACTCAAGGCAACCCGGGCTGTGGCTTTCCTGGGCAGGCTCAACGAGATGTGGGCCAACCAGGCTACAGCCCCGTTGACTGGCTTCCTGGTATAGACAGGGGTGGGGGAAAGACGACTCTCCTCCAAGGCCAGGGAGGGTCTGTGGGGCTGGGACCCCTGGCTTTCTAGCGACAATAGCGACTCCCAGTGCCCCGCAGAGCACCCAGGTTGAAGTCAAGTGTGTCCTTGATTGACAGGCAAGATTCTTCTGTCATTGCCTGGCAACAGTGACTGCTGAGGAGCGGACATCTTCTTAGAAGGACCAGAGTCCCCCAAAGTGGGCTGCCTCTGCCTCTGCCTCTGCAGCCCCTGAGGCCAATTCCACTTGCAGACATGGAAAGCAAGATTTCTACTGTCCCAGGAAGGCGGCAGAGTGGCTACCAGAGATGTTAGCTTCAGCCCCGCCCAGTGCCTGACCCCTGCCATGAATGAAGGTGACTAAGCCAGAGCTTGGCCTGCCCTGCCCTGTTGGTGTCCTGGTGAGCTGCAGGGAGGGCCCCTTCCCCAGCTTCTTGTTGTTTTGTTCTGCCTGGCGCTTCATAGCCAGCTTCTGAAGTTTGTTACACTCTAACAAAGAGGCAGGAAACAGGTGCATTTGCTTTAGGCTCTCATTAAATAGCTTAACTTTCAAAGACATGAAATTCTTCCCAGAGTAAAACATATTCATCTGAAACAATCCAAATTATGATTCGTGCTGATTTTTCTGAGTTTGGGGCCATGCTCTCTGTAGCCTCCCTCCCCCTAGGTTCAGTTATGGGAGGTGACAAGTAGCTCTTGCTCTCACCCTGCATCAGAAAAGGCAGATGTGGTGGCCTTAAGGATAAAGGTGGCAGAGTGGTTACCTGAGATGTTAGCTTCAGCCCCGCCCAGTGCCTGACCCCTGCCATTGCCATTGCCTTGCTTCTAAGCCTGGTGGCCTGAGCTCAAAATCCAGACCAACCACATGATGGAAGGAGAGAACTGACTCCCACAAATCGTCCTGTGACCTCAAACATGTGCCTCTCTCTGTGAGTTCGAGGCCAACGGTTAACAAACAAGTAAAATGGCTGAGTAAAGCATTAGACTGTAAATCTAAGCACATAGGACAAAGCCTTTTTTCACCAAGCCTTAAGGTAATAATCACATCGAATTGCAAATTCGAAGGTGTAGAGAAGTGAGTCTACTAAGGCTTCTCCCGCCCCCTTTCTATAGAATGAGTTCTAGGATAGGCTCCAAAACTATGAGGAAACCTGTCTTGAAAAAAGAAAGAAAGAAAGAAAGAAAGAAAAGAAAGGCATTTACTTTATTTGTATGCATCCGAGTGTACACACATGCAGGAACCCATGGAGATCAGAAGAGGATGCTGGCTCCCCAGGAACTGGAGTCAACCAGTCCTTGTGAGGCACTATTGGGAAGAGTTTCTGCATCCACCACGACATCTGCTAGACCATGAATTGCCTGCTACACGAAGAGGCTCAGGTTAGCCCAAAGCACACATTTGGTCAAGTAACCTGCCTCCCTAGATCCTGCACTTCCAGGTGTCTTGGTGACGGCTACCTCTCCTATGGCAGGGCAGAGGTAGCTTGAGGGTGTTTAGCCATTTGCTTCCCAAGAGGAACCTTCGTCTGCAGCCTTTTCCAATTCCCATGGCGTAAATAACCACCTTGCATTCTAAGCTCTTGCTTGGACATCCCTGGACAGAACAGGGAGGAGCTGCCTTCACACTGTACCTAAGAGGCATGGGTTAGCATAAAATTACCTCAAGTACACAGAAAGCAGTCAAGTAATTGGGAAGTGACGAACTTGGAGGATTCACTGCTTTTTTTTTTTTAATAGAAGGACTTTGTGGAGTGGTTCGAATGAGAACGACCCCCATTTGAAGGTTTGGTGGTCCCCAGTTGGTGGAACTACTTCCTAGGGTTAGCAGGTGTGGCTTCGTTGGAGGAGGTGTGGCTTCATTGGGGGAGGTGTGTCACTGGGGCTGGGCTTTGCACTTTCAAAAGCTCATGCCATTCCCAGTTTACCCCCTGCCGCATGCCCGGGTAAACACTCAGCCACTGTTCCAGGGCCATTCCATCCAGCCTGCTGCCGTGCTCCCTGCCATGAGTCATGGATTCTAACCCCCTGGAGCCGTGAGTCCCAATAAACTCTGTTCTAAGATGCCTTGGTCATGGTGTCTCTTCACAGCAATAGAAAAGCGACTAAGACGCCGGGCAGTGGTGGCGTATGCCTTTAATCCCTGCACTTGGGAGGCAGAGGCAGGCGGATCTCTGTGAGTTCGAGACCAGCCTGGTCTACAAGAGCTAGTTCCAGGACAGAATCCAAAACCACAGAGAAACCCTGTCTCGAAAAACCAAAAAAAAAAAAAAAAAAAAAAAAAAAAAAAAAAAAAAAAAGGGACTAAGACACTTCATGGGAGATTTTTATCATTTAGTGATTCTGTGTTTGACAACTGGCTCACAAAAAAATTCCTAAAATCTTGGTGATCAGCTCTTGCGCTCTGATACTTTACCAGGCAGCACACTATGGTGGTGGTGGTTGGGAAACTGGACCCAGGGCAATCGCAGGAAACTACATTTCCCAGAAGCCTCCTCTTTCAGGACCTGCCCTCTGTTGTTACCATGGAGACAACTAACAGATAGTAAGACTGTTCTTGGAGGGTAAGAAGGCATCTGGGAACTGGGGGTGGACATAGGGAAGAGGAGGAACAGGGGCGGCAGGGGTGGATAGCAGAGTACTTCTTGGGGGTCTTCCAGCCTGGACCTGCCTGATGAAAGCTGGGGGCGGGGGCTGTTTTGTGGGGAGGAGAAGGTTGCTGCTGGGAAGAGGCTCCAGGAAGGACGCTGTGGGTGTCAGGAGCTGAGAAGGGAGCTGCATGCGGAGTAGTGTTGCAGGTCTGGACCCCATCCACTCTGACGACCCAGTCTGTGACCTTGAGCCCCAGCTGGAATGGGCCTGCCCACTGATACCTTCTTTCTGTCATGTTTCTTTCCTTGCAACCCATTCCTCATCCCCTTCTCTTCCATGACTCCTCTGTCTTACATGGGTTTCAGAGCCAGAACTACATCTGTTCTGTGCTAGCTGCAAACTGGATGGGTTCTCTTAGGCTCTCCAGTTCTCAGCATTCTTGCCTGTAGAGTGGGCCGCACAGGACTAACTCCATCAGAGTCACTTCAGGATGAAGGATATCGTTTTTATATAGCCCCGGGGATTGTCACACAGTAAGAGTCTAGAGAGCTGGGGATGCCTTAGAAGGCATTACCCCCTCCCTGGTTATCTCCCCTGTGCCCAAGAGGCAGGCAAAGAGCTTTGCTAACCAGATCATGCTACTTGGCTGGAGGTCTGTCCCCAGGAACAGGAGTACTGAATGGGCCTGCTGGACCCAAAACTTCAGCTGGGATTCAGGCAGACTGAATCTAGCCATAGGCACCCAGCCCTTCCAGAGTCCTAGAGCACAGAATATCCACATTGCAGGAAGGGAAATCGGGGGGGGGGGCTAGAAAAGAGTGGGGTGTGGCCTGTGTGCTCCAGCAGGAACTACTAGCTGAGGCAAAAAGAATAGCAAATACTGTCCCCATCTCTCCCTGTGGCTCAGTCTGGCCAGGCAACCCACGCCTTCCTCTGCAAGAATCTCACCTTGCAATGCTAGAGATGGAACTCAGAGGCTCATGCACACTGGGTAAGCACACTACCACTCAGCCACATCCCAGCCCATCCGCCTGGTCCTGAGTCTGACTCCTCTCTCTGAGCTGAGAATAAGTCTGCATCCTCTTTCTCTCTTGCCGTTACTGCTGTCCTGCCTGCACCGCTTCCATTGGGTGGGGGCTTCTGTTCTACTGAGAGCAGATCTGAAAGGAGGAGAGTGGAGGAGAGGCCTGAGGTGCAAGGCAGAGGCCAGACAGGTGCAATGGTGTTGGGTAGCAGGGAGCAGACACCAAGCAGAGGCCAAGTTCTACATGAGTTGGAAGTCTGGGAGTAGTCCTAGGCTCACGACTTGCATCCGTGGGAACCCGACTCTCTCACTCCCCCGTCCTTAGCAGGCAGCCTTGGTACACCAAGTGGCCCTTACCAATGACCTCCCCACCTCCCACTTGGTGTGTGTGCATGTCTCAAGCATAAAGTGGTCATAGAACCAAGGCTCTGTACTTGCTGCCCTCTAATGGCCTCTCTTCCCACATATTACTGGTCACAGCTGGGCCACGTCTTCTCCAAGACCTCATTGCCAGAGAGGCCAGGAAGTGGAACACTTCAAACTTGGCACCTTGCCGCCCCAATTCAAACCTGGGACTCTGTGGTGTGGAAAGGGGCAGATCTTTGGGTCGGTGACTATGGATCTTAGTGAGGTCTTCCTCTGTGGCTGCACATATAGCATCCTGTGTGTCACAGGATGGTAGCCGTCCTCTGGGCTGCCATCACCCTCTACATGCCTTGGCAGTAACTCTGCCTTTTTAAAAAGATGGTCTTAAAGGTCTTAAATGTCTTGTGTGTGTCTGGGGATGGGAGTCAGCTTCCATACATGCATGCAGTGCCGATGGAGGCCAGAAGAGGGCATCAGATCCCCTGGGACTGGAGTTACAGCTATTTGTGAGCCACCATGAGTGTGCAGGAACCCAAACACACGTCCTCCAGAGGAGCAGTAAGTGTTATCCACTGAGCCAACTTTTCAGCCCTGCAAGTCTTTGCGAGCTTTGCCTCAGTTTCCATTGTAGTAAGATGAGATTTCTTTTACCTGCTATTCTGTAGGTCTTATTTTGTTTTGTCTTGCTATTCTAAACAATTTCCTTTAATCCGGGAAACGTATTGATTCATTGAACATCGTCAATATACCTAAATAGGAAACTATATTCAGCAATCTCTACAGCATTAGTGTCATTTGCTAGAAAGAGACAGTGGCCACCAAAGCCACATTAGTAACTTTGAGTAACCTGACACTGACCTTGTCTGATGTTTGTTGAAAAGGGGCTTGGCTACGTAACGCAGGTTAGTCTGGAATTTAAACTCCTCCTGCTTCATCCTCTCAAGAGCTGAAATAGGCATGCATCACTGTGTCCAGTTCTTTGTCTTTGTTCTAAGGGAGATTTGTATTACAAGGTATTAGAGATGGGCTAGCAACAAATGGAGACTTCCTCCCCGGTGGAAGGGATGCTTGCATGGGATGTTGTTCCTTCTCTATGAGGAAAAGCATCCCCAGGCCCCTCTGCATGCCCAGGTGGAGGAGAGTACCCCCAGGCCCCTCACATGTCCAGGTGGAGGAGAGCACCCCCAGGGCCCTTGGCAAGTACAGGTTGTCTTGATTTCTTTCTGACTGACCATGGCCATTTTGAGAATATCTGCTTCTCCCTACAGAGATATTTATCTTAGTTATCCAGAGACATCAGGATGGAGGTCCTGAGAGAGAAAGTAGAGGAGGAGGAGGCAGCTGAGCGTGAGGAAGCCGCTGAACGGGCAGAATGGGCTGAAAAGATGGAGAAGATGATGAAGACGGCCGAAGTGAGCAGAGAAGAATCCGTCCTGACACAGGATGAGCTTCGAGACCTGGAGAAGAAGCTAACGGCCATTGAGATCCCCACCCCAGCCGAGTACTCGTGAGTATCACCACTGGGGCTGTCCACTTAGCCGCCCTGGCACAGTTAGAAAGGACCAGGCTCAGGAAGGACCAAGGCAAAATGGTGGCACCTAGGCCAGGAGGGTGGCCATGGAGGGATGAGGTTCAGTTTGAGGGTCTGTTTCCTCTATTTGTCTGTGTAAAAGCAGAAGTGTGAGTAGTGATACTGCCTCTGTGTAGTTGTGAGGAATAAATGAAGAAAAGACAAAGTCAAAGACAGCTCAAGTGCTTTGGGGGTTCCCGGGGTGCCAAGCATGGCCTCACTCAGAACTTTGCCATCCCTGCTGGGACACAGGATCATAAACAAGGCCCTCATTGATGTCACCAAGCTGCCTGCTTCCTACACTAGCAACTCACCCAAGGAGGAGCACCTGCTGCAAGTGGCGGACAACTTCTCCCGCCAGTACAGCCACCTGTGCCCAGACCGCGTGCCTCTCTTCTTGTACCCGCTAAATGAGTGCAATGTGCCTGTGAGCCTGGGGCTTGGAGGGCGGGGCCAAAGCAGGAGCAGAGGGGGTGGAGGAAGGCACACCCAGCTCTCCCTGTGGAGCAGTGCTGGCCTGTGGGGAGCTGGAGGAGATGACTCCAGGGGAATGCGGGTCTGGGACCTGAACTGGAAGTGGGGCTACCACCCTGTCACTGAGCTACATCCCCAGGCTTCTTCTTAGTCTTGAGTCTTACTACGCAGCCCAGGCTAGCCTTGGGCAAGCTGTGGCTTTCGGCTCTGACTACGAACACATGCTAGGAGACCTCACACGCTTGAATGAAACTGAATGAACAGGTATAGATGAGGAGAACTGAGGCCCGGAGGGGTTCAGGGAGGTGCCTGGGGCCATGTGGAGGGGAGCAAGAACCCTGTGCCAGGTTTTAGGGTGTGCTCTGCCCCCACTTTGTCCCATTTCTTTGTCCTTTCTTTGAGGTGCTGTCACCTGTTACTGGAGACCACCCTGGTCACCAGCCACCCCTCCTCAAAACCTCTGTAGGCTTGCTCTACAAGGGCCTCAACCTGGTCAGACATCTATCTCCTCTATACCTTAGGCAATTTACCTGGCCTCTCTGAGCTTGGAGGGAAGGGTTTTCCCCAGTCCTTCCGGCTCAGATCCAGAACAAGCTAGTACTGTCCCCATGGAGTGCTGTGAATAGGTGCATCTCAGCCATTGCCACCTCCAATGGCCAATTCTTGACCTTCCCAGCAAGGGACTGCTCCACCACCCTGAGACCAGTGAGCTGGGCCTCTTCAGGGTCCCCCTGGGAAGTCAGGGAAGAAGGCTGGGCCAACCAGGCAGGGATGCTCATACGTCCCTGTTCCACACGGTCCCTCGCATGATCTCTTACTTTCAGAAGTTCGTGAGCACCACCCTGAGGCCGACATTGATGCCCTACCCCGATCTCTACAACTGGGATACCTGCGCCCAGTTTGTGTCCGACTTCCTCACCATGGTTCCCCTGGTTGATCCACTCAAGCCGGTAAGTGCTACTCCCTGGCTGTGTGGGCTAAGCCCTGCAGGTTTAATACGAGTCTGCGAGTCTGCGCAACAGGAACTCAGGCAAGCTCCAGGCTCCTGGACCCCTGTAGGGAAAGGCACAGAGAGGCAACCACTGGCCTGAGGGTACACAGCAAGGCTGGTCCCCAATCTGGTGGAGTCTGCCTCAGTCTCCCTTTTTTTATTTCAGGAGGCACAAAAGAGCTGGGGATAGCAAGCTGCCTCTAGCCTGCAGCCCCATCTTTGGGCTTCTGAAAGGTTCAGTCAGCTTTTTATTGAGAAAGAAAGGAGGCAGGAAAGAGGGGCGAATAACCGAGCGCTGATAGAAAGATGAGAAGGATGGAGGGGAGAGCTTCGGAGGAGAGCCATACGTTCCTTGAAACGGCAGTCCCGTGTGTGGGTGGCACGGGTCTGGTGTGTCAGGTCCTCAAGAGGCTCCTGATGCAGCAGGGCCCCTACCCCGACAGGTGGGTGGTGAGTGGCGAGGTGTCTGGCTGAGCTGACGGGTGTCCTGTGCTCAGCCCACACACCTGTATTCCTCGACCACGGTGCTCAAGTGCCAGAAGGGGAACTGCTTCGACTTCAGCACCCTGCTCTGCTCCATGCTCATCGGCTCCGGTTACGACGCCTACTGCGTCAATGGCTACGGCTCCCTGGACCTCTGCCTCATGGACCTGACAAGAGAAGTGTGCCCGCTCACCGTAAAGGCCAAAGAGGTATGCCGGATACCCCCTCCTATATGCAAACTGTCCAGGCTGCCCATCTGCCTGAGAGAATCAGGGTCTGCCCTGACCATCCTTGGAGAAGCAAGAACTGGGTGGGTCTCTGACCTGGCCACCCTTAGAGGTGTGAGGATTGTGTCCCTGCCCTGGCCAACCCTTAGAAAAGCAGGTCCCCATCCAGGCTGTCCTTACACTCATGGGTTTCTTCCCCATCACTACGTGTCCTCTGTCGCTCCAGATCCCCCGTTTCAGTCCCTTGGAGATTTCTCTGTCCTCAGCATCACCCAAAGCTCATCACCCAGAGATTTCTCCCAGCTGCTGTCCCTCCGGCCTTGTCCTAGTTCAGTTTAAGACACTGTGCTGCCACTGGGCAAATGTTATGACTCACGTGGCTTCTACCTTATCTCTAACCATCACAAACCTACCCACTTCCGCTTGCAGCTGGGAAAATCCTATCTGGTGGTTTTAATGGTGGGAAACAATGACCAAGTGAGTGCTTGATTCTCAGCCCTCCTAAAACACACACCCCCTTTGTGTTTCCAGGGTGGACCTGAGAACCTCGCGCATGCTAGGCAAGAATGCTAGTCTGAGCTGCATCCCTAGCCCCAAAGTATCCCATTTAACGGGGCAAACATTACCACTTCCCCCAGTGAGTGGCAGTTGAGTTTCCTGTCTGCTGATTAAGAATCTGAGGATGACCAGAGTTTATGCAAACAAAAGAACTTTTTAAACTCTAACAGTGTTAAAGTTAGCGTGGAAGTATTGAGCATGCGTGTGGCTACGGTTGTGGGTAACGGGCATCCATGAAGGCATTTTTGTGCATATGTTTCATGCCAGAATCACATCTATGTTTGGAAAAACACCACACTGTGCCCACAAGAGCTTCCCACACCCTGGGTGGATTCCAGGGCTCTGTGACAAGAGTCAGGCCCCTGTGCAGCTGATGGATGGAGACCCAGGGGCCTGAGGCACTAACCGGGAGATTGAGGAAGAGGGAGAGGTGCCAGGCAGACTGCTCATTCAGGACTGGTTCCCCAAGCAAGGTGTCTCAGCTAGGGTTTCTTTTTTTTTTTTTAAAGATTTATTTATTTATTATGTATACAGTATTGTCAGTATTTTGTTTGCATGTGTGCCTGCAGGCCAGAAGAGGGCACAAGATCTCCTTACGGATGGTTGTGAGCCACCATGTGGTTACTGGAAATTGAACTCAGGACCTTTGGAAGAGCAGTCAGTGCTCTTAACCACTGAGCCATTTCTCCAGCCCTCAGCTAGAGTTTCTATTGCGTGAAGAGACACCATGACCATGGCAACATTTTTTTTCTTATAGAGTTCTCTTTTTTAAAAGATCTATTTATTTATTATGTATACAGCATTCTGTCTGCATAGATGTCTACAGGTCAGAAGAGGGCACCAGATCTCATTACAGATGGTTGTGAGCCACCATTGGTTGCTGGGAATTGAACTCAGGACCTTTGGAAGAGCAGCCAGTGCTCTTAACCTCTGAGCCATCTCTACAGCCACCATGGCAACTCTTTTTTTTTTTTTTTATGGCAACTCTTAATAAGGAAAACAATTATTTGGGCCGGCTTACAGATGCAGAGGTTTAGTCCGTTATTGAAACAGTAGGAAGCATGATGGCCCACAAGCAGATATGGTGCTGGAGAAGGAGCCAAGAGCTCTACATCCCCATCAGCAGGCAGCAGGAAGATATTGTGTGACATTGGCCTTGGTTTGAGCATTTGAAACCTCAAAGTCCACCCCACTGAAACAGTTCCTCCAACAAGACCACACCTCCTAGTAATGCCACTCCCTGCGGACCTATGGGGCCATTTTCATTCAAACCACCACACAGGGATGAGCAAATAATTTTGTTTGTTTGTTTTGCTTTTTTTTTTTTTTGAGACAGGCTTTCTCTTCATAGCTTTGGAGCCTGTCCTGGAACTTGCTCTAATGACCAGACTGGCCTTGAATTCACAGAGATCTGCCTGTCTCCGTCTCCCAAGTACTGGGATTAAAGACCACTGCCTAGCAGCAAAGCATGCGGCACAAATGCCGTCTTCTGTCTTTTCCTTCCGTGGTCTCTGAGCTCACACCTCCTGGTCTTCTTGTCTCTGCTGCAGGTTTAATGTGGGCATGGGTTGACTCGGTGGCTACTGATGACAGCCCTGTGTAGTTGGAATTGTCATTCTTATAAAAGGGCATGGCCCAAAAGCAAGTGTTACCATGTCTGGAGCTACCAAACTGTGATGACATTTTTCGGAGGAGACCCAGGGATGGAGACCCGAGTCTGACTCCCCAGACTGGAGACCGCATTTCTTTTACCCGCTTCCACAGCGTCTGGAGAGCTCCTTCATGGCGGCACAGATCATCATTTTGTACATATCTATATACACATGTGCATGCATATACATGTAGAAACACACACACAGAGGTTTTTCCTTCCTGGCCCAGAAAATTTGAACTTGGAGTCAATGTATGAAACCTCCCAAGGATAACCCCTGAAAACTCTGACCCCTGACAATCAGCTCCACCTTCTGGCTGGGATCCAGATCAGCCTGGTCAGCAGGGTAATAAGACTCCCCTTCCTGTTCACAGTTTCCTGTGCAAGGCTGATGGGGAGATCCTTAGGGCTCTCTGCTGCGCAGCTAGGCTTGATCTGTAGAGAGGACTCCTCCCCACCCCACTCCTCTCTATGCTGCAGCTCCCTCTTCTGTCTAGGTAGGCCCTGTGAAGAATGTGGGTGGGAGTTGGACTTGCCTCTCTTGTTGGGTGATAGACAGTCAAGAAGAAAGAGAAGGCAATGCCTAAGAAGTACGCTGTCAAGCCACCACGGGACCTGACCAGCAGGTTTGAGCAGGAGCAGGAGGAAAAGAGACTACAGAAGATCAGGAATATGGAAGAGAAGCAGCGCAAGGAGGAGGAAGAGCGCCTCTTGGTGGGTATAAACGGCACTGCACCCTGGCATGACTGTTCACGGTATCCCCTCCTCCCAGCCCCCAGGCCCCCCCCCCCCCCCCCCCCCCCCCCCCCCCCCCCCCCGCCAAGGGATAACATACCAGGGCCATAAGGCCTTATCTTATGATTCACCAAAGCTCTCCTTGCCCGTAGAACACATTGCCTTTCTTTGAAGGAAATCTCACCCAGGATACAATCGCTCTGCAGAATGAATCACAGATCTATCTGGTGGTTGCCTCTCCCATTTTACCGGTTGAAACTTTGGGCCTAGGAGGGGAGATGGAAAGAGAGATCCCCTTGGCTGGTGGTCACCCACCTTTTCTGTGTAGGAGGAAGAGAAGGCGAAGCCCGACCCCCTGCATGGACTGCGCGTGCACGCCTGGGTCCTGGTGCTGGCCGGGAAGCGCGAGGTGCCCGAGAGCTTCTTCATTGACCCGCTGACAGCGCGCAGCTACAGCACCAAGGACGACCACTTCTTGGGCATTGAGAGCCTCTGGAACCACAAGAACTACTGGATCAACATGCAGGACTGTTGGAACTGCTGCAAGGTGCGTGGGAGCAGGGTGTGACCAGGGATGGGGGCCAGGGGCGGCCATGCTACCAGCCCCTGACATCAGGAGGCCCCAGTACCTACATTCCTGCCTATCAAGGGTCTTTCTGGCAAGATGAATGTCTCCAGTTTTGTTGTGTGTATCCTTTTTTAACCCGTTGGCTATTGGTTTGTGTGAATGAACTTTGGGCGGAAGGATAACTAACACCCATGCCGCAATGTGCGTACACATGAAGCGCTAAGCTCCCTGTCCAGGGTCTGTAAGCTGATCGGGCCCTGCTTCCTGCACCCAGACTAAGAAAGAATATGACCCATACCTCAGAAACCCTGTGTTCAGTTCCTACCCCCCCCCCCCACTCCCAAATGTATACTTGTACGTTAAGGTCATAAACAGCACGGGCATGGGCTGGTAGGATGTTCAATGGGTAAAAATGCTTGCCACCAACCCTAAGGCCCTGAGTTAGATACGAAGGGCCCACATGGTAGAAGGAGAGAACTGATTTCTGCAAGCTGTCTTCTGACCTCCATATTCACACACCCACACACACGTATACAAAGAGGTGCTCAATCTTAAATGTATACCTTACTGGATTGGTTTGTGCAAATGAATTCCCCTACGTATCCAGGATCTGCCCCCTCGCATCCAGTAACCCCTCCAGCCATGTGCTCAATGGTAGAGCAGGTGCTTAGCCCGTGTAGGCTCTGGGTTGATCCCCCAGCACCACAAAAATGAAGAAAAGTTCATTTATACAAACCAACATTCTTCACTTGAAAAGGATGCCCAGGTCCACAGGGAGATGACAATCTGATTGGAACCATCAGTGAAGGGTGGGAGTGTGGGCAAGTGGGCTCGGCTATGAGGACAGAGCCCGTGCTGACTTCTTACAGCGCCCATCAGTTTATTCTGATTTAGGACAGATCATCGACTGTGTTATACAGTGTGCATTCTTTGTGTTGGATTTGTGAAGTCATGGAGATGTTTGTGAGATTCACCCATCTTTTCTGTTGGCAGTGCTCGGTTCATTTTCATTGCTTATTAATTCCCTCTTCTTAGCATTTTTTTTTTTTTGAATTTTTGAGACAGGGTTTCTCTGTAGCTTTTGGTTCCTGTCCCGGAACTAGCTCTTGTAGACCAGGCTGGCCTTGAACTCACAGAGATCCGCCTGCCTCTGCCTCCCGAGTGCTGGGATTAAAGGCGTGCGCCACCATCACCCAGCTTATTCCCTCTTCTTGAAGCACTCCAGAACTTATTTTTCTGTTTTAGAGTGGCATGCTTCAGTTGTTTCCAGCATGGGACTATTTGGGATAGCCCTGCAGTGAGCAATTCCCTACCCGGATTTCAATGAACACGTGTGCGCACGTCTGATTGATCAAGACCCAGGAGAGTCAGATTCTTCTCATTTGCAGAAAATGACTGCATCGACTTATAGCCCCCACCTCCAGCGTTGTGTGAGAGTCCGGACGCCCTCCTGCTTCTTACCAATACTCCTAGTTACTTGTTTGGGAGTTTGAGACGGGGTGGCACTCTGTCTTGGCCTCCTGAAGCTGAGATTACAGGTGTGCACACGGATGCCCACCCAGTTTCCTCTCTCCTCATGTTGGCTGTCTTGTGGGTAGCTTGCATACTGCGTTGTTTTGAAACTACAGCTGATTTTTTGCACTGTCCTCATATCCAGGAAGTTTTAAGCCTGCTCATTAACTCTAAAAATTAGAAAGACTTCAGGGCTTTTCTACCTGTGAGGTCATTTTAAAACCTTCTCCAGGGAGCTGGAGAGATGGCGCAGGGCTTAAGATGGAGTCCTGTTCTTTCGTGCTCCTGCTGAGGACCAAAGTTCAGTTCCCAGCGCCCACATCAGGGAGCTTACACTGCCTGTAACTCTAACTCGGGGGGATACAGCACTCTTCTGGACTCTGAGGGCACCCGCAACACGCATGGCATTCTCACACAGTGCCACATACATGTAAATAAAAAGGCTTAAAAAAAAAAAACCAACCTTGCTAGGTGACTTTCTATAGAATCACTATTGTTTCTTCCTTGGAAGCCATCTGGGTCTAGAGTTTTCTCTATAGACATGTTTTAAACTACACATTCAGTTTGGATAATTTGTTTTTTCTGACAGTTCTGGGGATGGAACCCAAAGCCTTGTGTATTCCAGCCCTGGGCTCTAGCATCAATCCACACACTCCCAGCCCAGGGCTTTTATTCTTGAGTGAGTTCTGGTAGTTTCCATCCTTTGGAAAACTTTATCCCTTTATTTACATTTTCAAATTATTGCTATAAAATGTTGATATTTACTCCTTATTTTCCTTTTGATATTTCAGAGCCCATAGTGATGACTCCACGCTCTCTGTTGGCACTGATAATGTACAAATATTTTTTTCTCCTAGTGAATCTAGCAAGAGGCTTATCAATACTGTTAGAATTGTCAATAAACCATGTTTGGTTTTGTTATTTTTTTCCCCCTATGGCTTTGTTTCATTTATTTCTACTCTGATCCTTATTATTTTCTAATGCTTGCTTTAAATTTCATTAATTAGTTTCTTAAGGTAGAAACCGAAGTAATGACTCTGGGCCAGTTTTTCTGGCAAAGACCTTCATTTCGTTAGTGAGTTCCTTCACTGGCATCCCACACATTTCAATAGCCTGTGAACTTGCTTTTTTTTTTTTTTGGCTGTTTAATATTTATTGTATTTTTTTCTTTTTTTAAAAAAATTTCAATTGAAATAGTTACATATCTTTCTCATTTCTTTTTCTCCCTCTATCCCCTCCCAACTACCTTTTCTCTTCTCAAACCTTTCCCTCTTGTATCCCTTCATAACTCTCAAATTGATAACCACCCTTTTCTTATGATTGTTCCATACACATATACATATATATACACACACATAGATATAGATACACTCTGATAGGTCTGTTTCTGTTGTTTCTATAATATTTCAGTGTTGACCATCTGTATTGGACAACAAATAAGGGCGTGAACTTGTTTTTCTTCAGTTCAAAATTCTCTCTTTTTTTTCTTTTCCTTTACCCTCTGATTCACAGGTCGTTTTAAAATGCGGTGTTTCAGACAGGTGGTGGTGGCTCGTGCCTTTGGTTCCAGCACTAAGAAGGCAGGGACAGGCGGATTGCCAGGGCCACACCGACAAACCCTGTCTTGAAAAACCAAAATCCCAAAACAATACAAAAAGTGGTGTTTCATTCATAGACATGTAGATATTTCCTGGTGACCGATTTTTTATTTCAGTGTTGATTCTGTGATTGTTAGAGAATGCTGACCATGCGATCCCGGCTCTCTTACTGTGGCTTGGTTTTTGGTCCAGACTTTGCTGTATCTTAAACGTTCTGTGCATTTGACGAGATGTCCTTTATAGCCAAGATTCTCAGAGGGAACAAAGTCCCAGCACTATTTTTAGCAGTGTCCACGCTGGCCAGTGTCATGGTCTCTTCTTTCACGCCCCTATTTGGTAACTCAGTACTGGGTCTCTCACCTCCCTTCCACCTGCCACAAATGTCTTTCCCACGGCACCGGTGTGGCGTGCACTAGAGTCCTGGTGGGGGTCGAAGGACAAGATGAGGACCTGCAGGCTGAAGGCTACAGTCATCTCTGAAGAGCCGTTAACACTGAGCGTGTGTTCATTGTGAGTCTGGTCTCGAGGAGGGCAGCTTTGACTCTGCAGCGTCTGTGTAGGGTGGGATAAATGTCACTGACCTGGGTGTCAGTGTCCTTACCCGTCACACGAGTTAACAAATCTGACACTCATCAAATGCCCAGGACCTATTAGCGCCTTCTGAGTATCGTTTTCTGTGAGGGAAATAAGGGCCGAGAGACCCTGGGGTCAGACGAGTCAGGTCGAGTCCTGAGATCCATGTCTTTCTATCCCAGGAATTCAACTTCCACTCACTGACACAGTTATAGACCACATAGGGGAAGCTTGTCCACTCTGCCTGTCTCCCATGGGGCCACAGTCATCCCTTAGACCAGTACATTGCAACAGGGTTCTATCTGGTCAGAAATGGCAGACACTGGGGATAACAACAGAGCACAGGACTTGGAGGCCTGAGGTCTGAGTTCGAGTCCAGTGGCATGTTGCTTTTCCCTTCCGCTGGACAGGAAGTGCCTGGGATTGGAGACCTGGTCTGTATCGATTGCTCTGTGTGCGTTCCTAGGCCAGGTACGGGCCTGGCATACAGTAGACACTTCGTGGAGAAGTTGAACACACTGCTTCCCCTCCCAGAATTGCCACTTGCCCATGCAAAAACGACCCCACTAGATGAGTTAGTCACATATCACTCCCCTGACTGCACTCTCCTCCACATTCCCTTTATGCCAATCCACATTTAAACGTTTCTTCCCCATGAGTAGGGTCTTAAAGAACAAAAATTCTTTGTCTTACAATTCTGGAGACTGGAAATCCAGGACTGAGGTCCTGGCAGGGCTGGATTCTTCTGAGATCTCTTGTATCTTCCTGAGCCCCAAGGAGCAGTTGGCTCTTGCCTCCCTGACCTGGGGCAAACAAAAACAAAAAGAGAAACCAAGGAGGCTCACTTCCTGATACTTTACCTGCTCAGAAATGCCCCATAGTGGCATAAACAGGTCTGTCCCCAGGGCAGGGTACTGATGAGTCTCCTCTGGACATGCTGTGGGATTTCTTTCTCTGGCGATGGGTCAGTGGGATGGGAGTGGGGCCTGCGTCCCTGTTGAGATGAAGAATGAGGCTGGACTCTTAGAGACTGAACGGAACTGACATTCTGCACAGCCCCTGCAGGCCTCTGGGAGCAGCTGTTTCTATTGTCCTAGGAGCAGGCCCAGGCATGGGGTTCAGGGGTGCATTCATTTGGTTCCCTCTCCATCAGGACTTGATCTTCGACCTGGGAGACCCTGTGAAATGGGAGTATATGCTCTTGGGGACCGATAAGCCGCACCTGTCCTTGACTGAGGAGGATGACGAAGGCCTGGACGATGATGACGATGTAGACGAATTGGTGAGTCGGGTGGCCTGAGGGTGGGTTGAGGGGCTTCACCTGTTTTGCGTCAGGCAGCCTGACAGACACCCCTGAAAGCATGTCCATGTACAGGGAAGTCCAGAATCATACATTTTTCTGAGCAGAAGGGCCTGGCCTCAGCCCTCATTTTCCAGATGTGTAAACAGAGACCCAGGTACATCCAGTGACCAGCCTAGGACTTCCCAGTGTGTTGACAGTACCTGAATTCAGTCTCTTCCATCTGGAGCCCCATTCAAGGGTTGGGGTGCTCCTCAGAGAGATGTGCTCTTTAGAGTGGGAGCCCCGGGACTGGCCACCCTGCTAGCTCTTCCTTAGTCACATTATGACTATCAAGCTAGGCCTTTTCTTCCTGTTCTATTACGTCTTCTAAAAACCACTGGCCTAGGGGATCCACTCATCAGCCTTCCTTCCGTCACCTCCCAACAAGGTGCGTGTGTATGTGTGTGTGCGCGCGCGTGCGTGTGTGTGCATGCAAGTGTGCGTGTGTGTGTGTGGTGTGTGTGTATGTGCGTGTGTGTGTGTGTGTGTGTGTAGAAGGTGTGCTTCCTGCATGAAGTCTTGAATGAGAAATCCAAGACTAGGAGCCCAGCAGGCAAATTCCCCCGGCTTTGGGATCTTCCATTTCCCCCTTATGTGTAAAAGTAGGTGAGGGTTGGGTGGTGGTGGCGCACGCCTTTAATCCCAGCACTGGGGAGGCAGAGGCGGGTGGATCTCTGTGAGTTCGAGGCCAGCCTGGGCTACAAGAGCTAGTTCCAGGACAGGCTCCAAAACTACAGAGAAACCCTGTTTCGGAAGAAAAAAAAAAAAAAAGAAATGAATCCACCCAATTTCATAACCTACTTTTTCTGTACCTAAATTTTCTTAATAAAATTTAGCATAGCACTATATTCTTTTTCAAGCGATGTAAACTTTAGTTTCTTTAGCCCCTTCATTTTGAATATGATGCCACATATTAATGTAAATATATATGTATACATATATATACATACATATATATATCTAAAACGTGGGTGAGGGTCATAGTCTGGTATCGACAGTAACAGGTGTTTTTTCACGTCTAGCACTGACACAACGAAGTGTTACAAACTGGGGGTCCCACACTACTGGAGGTTGGAATTTCAGGATCAAGGTGCTGGCAGGGCTGGTTTCTTCTGAGGTCCTCTGGGTTTGCTGATGGCCATCAGGGCTGTGTTTTATCTGGCCCCCTCTCTATGAATCTCTGTCCTAATCCCCTTGTCTTATAAGAACCCTTAGCATATTTAAGAAGCACATTTAGACTTCATTGACTCCTCCCTTAAGACTTACTTCCAAATGCAACCGGATTCATAGATACTGGGGTGAGGGTTTGGTGTGCGATTTTAGCGGGAGGTTGAGCCATGCTCCCAACAAAAGACAACACTGAGGGACGGGCTCTGCTTTAGCATGGACTCTGAGCTCACTCATTTAAATCGCCTCTGCCTGGGAGGCTGGCGGCTTATAGGCAGCAGGCAAAATGAGGCACCAAAAGACCCACCCAGGAAGTGAGAGAGCTGGGAGCTGGGTTCCTAGTGGTGACCTTCAGCTCTGGGAGCTGCCTGAGAACGACTGGGTCACCCTGTTCGCCAACTCATCATTTCTGAGCACTGGCGCCCCCTGCTGGCTGCAGGCACGAACCAGTGGTGTGCCGGGCAGGTAAACCCAAGTGGGGAGCCCACTTTCTGCAGGCCCTGTCACATCCCTAGAACGAGAATCCTTATTGTCTCCAAAATGGACAAATGCTACAGCCTGAGCGGCAGCCCTTAGCGTGGGACCCTGGGATTTTTAGGCTGTCTCAAGAACGCTCTGCCCATGCCGCCTGCTGACTGCTCGCCTTCTGTGTCCCTGAAAGGACTCAAAGTTAGATGAACAAGTATCCAAGGGCTAAGCATTGTTTGTGGCAGGAAGTGTACACATGGAAAATCTAGAGTCTGGTTTGAGGGTTATTTGTCTAGACCAGGCCGTATTGCACAGCACAGACCAGGGATAGACAGCAGACAGAGCTCCGGGCATTATTCATGACATCCTTTAGTCCTCCCAGGAAACAGCTAAGGAAACCAAGGCTTAGTGTGGATGAGGAACTTTCCCAGTCTTCCTTACCTGGGATGATAGCTAAAGGTATGGCTCCCCTCTCTGAGCAGCCATCATGGCCGCAGGTGGTACCATTATCTTAGACCAGGCAAGCAGGGAATGGGGATCTGCCCAAGATGACTCCCCTTCTGCCCCATCCTGATCACTGTCCTGATTTCTGCCTCTTCCAGGGAAACTGGCAGCCCCCTTAGCAAAGCTGGGTCTGGGGTAGGGGACAGAGTTGCGCTATAGCCTCCAAGGGCCTAGCCAGCACCCACCTCCTCTCCTCACAGGCCAAAGAGGAGGAAGAGAAGAGCTTCGACATGCCGCCTTCATGGGTCTCCCAGATTGAGATCACACCTGAAGGTCTCTGTCATTCACCAGTTCCTAGAGCCCCAGGGAGTTCTACGGCCATAACTCAGCAGAGAGGCCATAGAGGCTTCCTGAGCCGCCGTCTCCACCCCTCTCAACACCCCACCAGCTCTGTGCCCAGAGCCTGATACCATCTGGGACACAACTGGACTGTTAACATGACTCCCAAAGTCTGGAACATGGCCTCTTTCCTTCCCTCAGATCCTCTGTTCTGAGGAGACCACAGGCAGGACCTGTTGACGATAGTGTAAGAAGGTCAGGCCCTGGGATGTATGGGCAAAGAAGGCAGGAAAGTGGGTTACCTTCTGCTCCATGTCTGCATAGACCCATCTGGGAACCCCAAGACTCAGAAGAAGGATTCAGGCTGCTCCAGCAGGTGACAAGTGCTAGAGAAGAGGTCATGGAACCTGACCTGGAGTACTCATCACAGCCTAGATGAGGGATGAAAGCAAAATGGGGCTCAAGAAATAGGGAGCCCTGGGGCTGGGTCTTGAAGGCCCAGAAGTCATTCTAGCATACCGTTCTCACTGGTGAAGGCCTGGCAGGGGTGAGGGGTGGCTGGGCCACAGATAGGATTCTTGCGTGGCGCTGGGATTCTGGCTTGGATACCTTGGGAAGAGTTGAAGCCAGCACCAGTGACGACTTTCGTCTTCCCTGGAGCTGTTTCTGGACCTAAAGGGTCTTTAAAGGTGATGCAGAAAAAGGATGAGTGGCTAGGAAGGGTGGAAGGAGAGACCCTCAGTACTCTCTGCATCCACAGAGTTTGAGACCCGCTGCCCCAATGGAAAGAAAGTGATCCAGTACAAGAAGGCCCAGCTGGAGAAGTGGGCTCCATACCTCAACAAGAACGGCCTGGTGTGCCGCCTCACCATCTACGAAGACATACAGTGTAAGGCACCTTGGGGGCCAGGATGGGGGACAACCAAATGTTGTGCTCGGTCACTCCGGGCATAGCACCTCTACTTTTTTGGTGTCTGTGGGGGCAGAGGCCAGAGGAGCTGATCTGCCTGCAGCAACCATCTTTTGGGCCCCCACAGGCACGAAGGTTCTGGAGATAAAGGAGTGGTACCAGAACCGCGAGGACATGCTGGAGCTGAAGCATATAAACAAGACCACGGGCCTGAACGTGGACTACTTCAAGCCGGGCCATCCCCAAGCTCTGCGTGGTGCGTGGATCCCACTGCTGGGCAAGCCAAGAGCCCTGGGGGAGGGGGGCTTACCTAGAATGCTACATGATGGGAAAAATGAGCCCCAGGTGTCAGCGAGGTCCTCAGGTGGCAAGCACGGACACTGCTTCTGCCTCTGTACGATAATGAGGTGTACAGAGAGCTGAGGAAGCTCAGAAAAGGGAGACACTGTGGCCAGCAGCTCCCCAGGAAAATCAAAGGCAGGGCCACATGCAGTTCTGTGGCTGCGATCAAGCTGGAATCTCCACCAGAGGGTACACAGTGTGGGTCACACGTAAAGGGTCTAAGGATGCTAGACAGTAAAGCCAACCAAACACCACAGACAAGGGCAAATGCAGAGGGCAGAGCACCCACTGGATGGCTGTGGCTAGGGGTCCATGAGGTTGAGAAGAAAGAGTATGCCTTCCAAGATCCATATCCTACTCCAGAATTCACCAGAGAAAAATCTGGAGCCAACAAACACACGGAAACACATGAACTGCATTTGGGAGCTGAACATTTCAAGATGAAACCAACAAGGGGCCACGCCACTGCTTTTGTGTGAGCAAATGGTCCTAACCAGATGTGACAGGGGTTGGAAGCAGCAGAAAGCCCCTCCCTAGTGACTTGGCAGGCCACTCTTAAGTATAATTAAGCGAAATGTGTTAATATGGGGATGTAGCTCAGCGTTAGAACACATGCTTAACATTCCTGAGGCCCTGTGTTCCACCTCCAGCAACAATGGCCTTAAAATGTGCACGCATTTTGACCCAGTAATTCCTCTGCTGAGAATTTGTTGTTAGCAAACACTGAGCAAGATCCATAAGGGCATGACATAGATGCTCCTCATGGACTTGTTTGTAAAAATGAATAATTCGATGTAACCACCATATCCAGAGAGTGGGGGTTGGGCACATGGCTAATGCTCCTGTGTACTGAAGAGCTGCCCTCTCCCTGGGCCTGGGCTTGGGTGCAGTGTCAGCTGACGATGCTCACTCGACCCCTTCCCTCCCTGCTCGCCATCCCCCTCCCCCAGTGCACTCCTACAAGACTATGCTGCCCGAGATGGACCGTGTCATGGAGTTCTATGAAATGATCCGTGTCGATGGCCTGATAAAGCGGGAGGAGACGCCCATGACCATGACAGAATGCTATCAAGGGCGCTCAGACTTCCTCTCCTACCGCCACATCAATTTTGGACCCAGAATCAAGAAGCTCACCCAGAACAGCGCAGAGTCCAACCCCAGGCCCATGGTGGTGAGAGCATGCTGGGGCCGGGGACTGCTACCCATCTTCCCCGGCCGATAGAGGGTCAGCAGGATGGGGGAAACCCTGGTTCTGGGATGGGATCAAGGCCTGTGATTTTTGCCAGGGTTCTAAATCTCAAACAAGCAGTTTAACAAATGTAGAGCCCTGGGCTCGCTAGAGCTGAACTGCATCCCCAGTCACCAGACAGAGAAGCGCTGTTTCCTTATTGTAACACACACTTATGACCAGATGTGTGGAAACAGGAGAAACCAGAAAAATGTGAAGATATCTCAGAGTGACTTCTCTCCAGTACTACTGTGGACTGGTAGGTTTGTTCCTCGTTGAACAACTAACCCCAGCACTTGAGCGGGGGTAGCTGAAGGATCGAGGGTTTAAGGTAACCCTTGGCTACATAGTGAGTCCAAGGCCAGTCTGAGACCTTATCTCAATGAACTCGGAGCTGAGGGATAGCTCACTCCATAGAGTATGAAGCCCCAAGTGTGATCCCCAGAACCCACGAGAACAGCCAGGCACTGTGACACACAGCTGGAACTGCAGCACCAGGGAGGCAAACAGGGGTTTGTTGACCAGTCAGTCCAGGCAATCCAGTGAGCTCTGGGTTCAAGGGAGTCCAGGTTTTGAGAAGTGCAATTGAGACAGACAGTGTCAGTCTCTGGTCACCACACAAGTGCGCGTATGTACACCAAGGCACACACACAACTTGTTCTGAGAGACTTTAATTTTATTGAGATCCGAGAACCCCTGTTTTCTACCAAGTTTTTGGCCACTGAGCTTTCTGACCACGCCCCAGGGAAGCTCGTCTCCATTGCAAGGAATATTTGGTAATGGGATAGGCTTCCTGGAGAGGTGGCAGCTCCCCATTGCTAGGAGCAGGCAAGCAGAGTCTTGTGGAGGAGGGAACTGAAGAACACACTATGCGAGGCTGACGTGGCTAGACCCCGAGAACCCACAGGAGTCACAGAATCCACTGCCTGGCTAGAAGGGACTAACCAACAAGCCCCACCTCCAGACTCTTGGATCTGGAGCGTCCTTTGCTCCTGTCCACGGAGCATGCACAGAAATCCCCCACCGCCTTCTGCATGTTCTGGCCACACAGAAAATCACGGAGCGGTTCTTACGCAATCCAGCGAAGCCTGCGGATGAGGATGTGGCAGAGCGTGTGTTTCTGATGCTGGAGGAGCGCATTCAGCTTCGTTACCACTGCCGCGACGACTACATCACCGCATCCAAGCGAGAGTTCCTGCGGCGCACGGAGGTGGACAGCAAAGGCAACAAGATCATCATGACCCCGGACATGTGCATCAGCTTCGAGGTGGGCTGGCGACCGCATTGGGCAGGGACTGGCGGGGGGGGGGGGGGGGGGGGGGGGAGCCGGAAACTGCTTGCAGCCTTTTCTGGCTACTTGGGAAACCCCAGGTGGATTCCTCCACTCCTCCCCCATTAAGTGTCCACGGGGAAACCCATCTCTGTCCCTGGGAACACGTCTATTTCCCATCTGAGGATCTGTTCCTTGCAGCTCCTCTGAGACTCATCCCATTTCCATCAAAATGAGAATCCAGCAGACTGAGACATCCTCGTCCCCACCTGCACCTCTGGGGAGCCTACACCCCAGATCCCAGGGACCCATCCTGGAGGTGGCAGGGTGTCTCATCTCCTAGATGGTCTCATCTTCTTATTCTAGTTAGCTTTCTCTGGCACAGCCCTCAGCCCCTCTGCATCTTTCTTTGGTCCCTCTTTGTTACTATGTCTTTGTAGACAGGGATGCTGAGGTCTGGAAAGGTTAATCACCTTGCTTGAAGTCACCCAGCTAGAAAAAGCTAGTCGATTTAAGCCTGGTGGTCCCTAGACCTGACCAGTTGTAGCCTCTCTGTCACTGTGGTGGTTCTGGTCCCAGGTGGAGCCCATGGAGCACACCAAGAAACTTCTCTACCAGTATGAGACCTTGATTCAACTGAAGAATGAAGAGAAGCTGTCCCGGCATCAGGCCTGGGAGTCGGAGCTGGAGGTACGGTCCCCCCAGAGGGCGGATGTGGCGGAGAGAGAGGGTCTTACGATGTGCACATCCGCCATTGTGTGCCATCAAGGTGCTGGAGATCCTGAAGCTCAGGGAAGAGGAGGAGGAGGCACATACGCTAAGCATCTCCATCTACGACACCAAGCGCAACGAGAAGAGCAAAGAGTATCGGGAGGCCATGGTGAGCTTCCCCGCTTTCCCCGGGTCTCCTTCCCTGGAGGCAGGGCTCCAGGGTAGGGAGAGCATGGGAGTCCTTTGGAAGGGATGGCGTCACTGGTGGTGTCAGGTGAGCATTCTTGCTGACTGTCACCTGCCACACTGTGTTGATGGGTCACCCCGAAGGGCACTTAGGGTTCAGGCTAGGTGTCCTTATCCTGGACTGTGGCCAAACCAAAGCTTGCCTTGCATGGGGAAAGATGAATGTCCACCTCTGCCAGGGCTTCCACTAAGGCTGTGACCCGAGCTGGGAGTCCAGCCCACTGACTCAGGCACAAGTTGAACACCAGGCCTCAGCAACACAGGGCTTTGGCCACACCCCCTCCCCCAGGTGCAAGGACCCGACTGGGTTCCTAGGCTTGCTTCTAAATCCTCTTCACCATGCAGGGCAGACATTTAAAGTAGTTTGCAGTTGACCAGGCAAGGCTGGGCTTTGGATTGTTCTTGGATTCATAGGGAGGGGCAAAAGCCTATGTCTGCAGGTTCTCTGGCTTTTGTGTGCTCCATGTAGGGCCTTATGGGCAAGAGAAAATTGCTGGGAGTCTAACATCTAGCTAATCACCGTCATTCTTTGAACCTGCTGTGGGCTGTCAGACCCAGAGTATGTGCTTCCCAGATCTAAGCTGGTCTGATTTCAGAGGAGGAAACTGAGGCTCAGATTGAGAGGTGAATTCATGTCAGAAACAGGAATTACATGTCACCCTTAAACATGGGTCAAAGGGTGATCCTTAGGAACTTAGTTCTCCCAGGAAGTCTCTGCTAGGACCTAGCTTTGGGGCCTGACTTTGTAGCGTTGCTGCTCGGGAGGCCCCCAGGATATGGTGCTCTTTCAGCTGGTTCCCTGGTCCATAGGAGCGTGTCTTGCACGAGGAGCACCTGCGGCAAGTGGAGGCCCAGCTGGACTACCTGGCCCCGTTCCTGGCACAACTCCCTCCAGGCGAGAAGCTCACGCGCTGGCAGGCTGTGCGTCTCAAGGACGAGTGTCTCAGCGACTTCAAGCAGCGCCTCATCGACAAGGCTAATCTCATCCAGGCACGCTTTGAGAAGGTGAGACCATGGCCCAAGTCAGGGAGGTGACCTCACCCTCCTCAGTCAGAAAATGGGTCCTGAAATCTTTGCTCAGGGCGTTGCTGATGTGTGAGCGAGATGCGTGGATGAGTATGTCTGTAACTGGGGCTTCCAAATATCTGACTTCTCCCCACTTCATTACTGGATGGATGATGCGTGGATGGATGGCGGGTAAATGGGGGAATGAATGAAGAGGATGAGTGGGTGCAGTTTGGATACGTGGGCAGGCGGGCATGGGTAAGGATTAGAGGTGGGATGTGGATGGGTGGTGAGCAGGTGATGGACTGATGAATGAGTGGGCTGATGGGTAGATAGGTTAGATTGGCAGACAAGGGATAAAGAAATGGATTGCTAGGTTTGTGGATAGATGGACTGAGGGGTGGTACATGAACTCCTAGTCCTTAGCCCATTTCTGTGAGACAGGTGAGGTGCATACCTTGTGGCCTCCACGCAGTGTCTCGGTCTTCACAGAATACACAGGGTAGAGTCAGGTGGAGTTGGACACAATACTTCTTATGTTTGGAAATGAGTTACTTGGGGCTCTGAGCATCTCAGCAACTTGTCTAGGTCACATAGCTGTTTTGTGTATGTGGGTGTTTTGTCTGCACATATGTATGTATGCCATGTGCACACCTAGTGCCCTCAGAGGCCAGGAGAGGCTGTCAGATCCCCTGGGACTGGAGTTTCAGATGATTGTGAGTCTCCATGTGAGTTCTGGGAATCGAACCCCAGTCCTCTGGAGAGCAGCCAGCACACTTGCCTGTTTTTTTGAGACAGTGTTCTATTGTGTAGCCCCAGCTGGCCTGGAACATGCAATATAGACCAGACAGGCCTTAAACTCACAGAGAGCCATCTGGCTCTGCCTAGTGAGTACTGGGATTAAAGGTGGGCACGACCGCACCCTGCTGCTTTGATTTTGTATGAGGAGCTAGGGGTGGAACCCAGGGTTATGCACTAAGCCACATCCCTAGCCCTGACTAACTGTTTTGGCTGTTCTGATTTCATGCACACCTTGTCCTTCGAATCATGACTCCAGTAGTTCCAACCCAAGATCTTTTGTGATCCTCTAACTCTACCCCTCTCCACGGGAGGTGGGGATAGGGACTGCCTGGTAATCTATGGGCCTGGCTGATCAGTTCACACTGTGCCCCTGCTCATCTCCCTGTGCCCCCAGGAGACCCAGGAACTGCAGAAGAAGCAGCAATGGTACCAGGAGAACCAGGTAACCCTGACATCCGAGGATGAGGACCTGTACCTCAGCTACTGCTCTCAGGCCATGTTCCGAATCCGCATCTTGGAACAGAGACTCAATCGGTAAGGGGCAGAGCCAGGAGGACTCCTGGGAGCGCTGACAGTTTGGCTATCCCTCACCTTCTCCTCCCTGCCTCCCTCTGCTCAGGCACAAAGAGCTGGCTCCGCTGAAGTACTTGGCACTGGAGGAAAAGCTGTACAAGGACCCACGCTTGGTAGACTTCGTCAAAGGCTTTGTTTGATGCCCCTCATGGGACCATGGCAAGAGCTGTCAGAGAATGGAGTCCCGCCCTTCTCCCCAGCCACTGTGACCCCACACCAGCCTCACTGCCATGCTACCTCCCTGGCCCTCATAGTCTCCCTCAAATAAACACACTCCTTATTTGCTATTTGTACTTCGGCACTCACAAGCTCCAATCCCGTCATCCCCCCACCCCCACCCCGTCCTCAGCCTTTCTCTGTCATCTTTTGTTGGAATATCAAGTATTAACATCTCCAGATGGTTCCACAGTCATGGCTGTCTAGTTAGAGCTCAATGTGGTGATGATGGGCCGGCTCATAAAGTGGGAATGGCCTGGCCAGGGAGCACACCCCAAGATTGGGTGGCTTGATGTTAGAGGTCAAGGAACTGAATCCAAGTTCCTCTTCTGCTTACCACCTGTGAATGGGACTGACATTCTTTCCTGACCTAAGTGTTAAAGAGCAGAGAGAGCTGGGTAGAGTGGTGCATGTCTGTAACCCCAGCAGAAGGATCTGGGTTCGAGATCTGCCTTGGCTATATAGGGAATTTGAGGACAGCCTAAGCTACATGAGAATTTTTTTTGGGGGGAGGTTTCAAGACAGGGTTTCTCTTTGTAGCTTTGAAGCCTGTCCTGGAACTCCTTCTTTAGAACAGGCTGGCCTTGAACTCACAGAGAGCTACCTGCCTCTGCCTCCCAAGTGCTGGGATTAAAGGTGTTTTTAAAAATAAAGTAGAGAAAACCTGGCCTATAGTCTCCAGGGCATGACACAGCCATTGCAAATGATCTCATGGCAGCCACGATTGCCTGCACATGCCTGGGCCCGTCAATAAGCAATCATGAATCAGGGCGGGGCTCATGAGGGCCTTGTTCCTCCCTGTCTACTGGTTACTGTCGAATTCTGTTGGAGGGGTAGTCATTGTCTTCAGAGGTGAACCCACCAGGCTTCAACACCTACTTCCAAACCCACGGTTCAAACTGGGGGCTCGAGCCACAAGTGGTGGCACTTGCCTTTAATCCCAGCTCTTGATCTCTACCAGTTCAAGGCCAGCCTGGTCTTTATAGTGAGATCCTGATACAGAGGGAGGAAAGGAAGAGATGGGTGTATGTGTCTGTGGCGGGGGAGAATAAGGAGGACAGAAGTAAGATGAACTTGAAAGAGCCAAGTATGCCAAATCTTGCCAGGTTCTTAGTTAAGAAACACCACCACCACCGTGTGTGTGTGTGTGTTCTCTAAGCAGTCCTCTTGTCTCTGCTCCTCACAGCCCTGGGTTACACATGCAGCCATGCCCAGATGTTTACGTGGGTGGTGATGATTTGAACTCATTCTTGGCACTGCAATCGCTCCTAAGATTGAGCGATTTTTCTTGCTTCTAGTAAGTTTTTATTTTCAGTGCTGGGGACTGTACCTAGTTCCTCCTCACACTAGTCAAAGCTTTCTACCAGAGCTACATTCTTGGTCTTGTTCCTGCTTAGAGAAGTTATTATGTGTGTTGGGGATAATTACGATCATAATAATATAGACTACACGTTAGAGGTAGGGGTAGTGAGATTGGTCATGCTCAGTGTTGTCATGATTGAAATGTCTAGGGATTGATAATGCTCAAATACTTACGAGGCAAAACGTGTCAAAATCAAGAATTTGACATTTTATTTAATAATAAAAAGTTGAGAAGAACAGCAAGCTACAAAGTTTTGATTGAATGTTATTCTCCGAATCCAGGTCTTTTAGTAATCCCCAAAGTCTACTCGGAGCCAACTTCCCAAATCACAGAAGGCTGGTGGATGTCTTTTGTCCCTGCAAAGTTTTTCCATTTTGTAGGGACTTGGCACGTCTTGACTTTAAAGGTTCCAATCCTGGGGCCATCTTCCAGAAGTTTGGTCTTTTCACCTCAGCATCGGTTTCCTCATCTGTAAATGGGGAATTCCTACTGCCCTGTGGTGCAGAAGAACGCCAGGCGAAGCTGCCCCCATGAGACGCGCGAGTGGAGGACGGACCAGGCTCTTTCTCCAATGGGCCGGGGCTAGTTCCTCCTCAGTGAGCCCCCCCACCTCTCCCCGCGCCGGCTCATGGAGGTTATATTTCCGCCACCCGATCTCAACCTGCCTGACCTGTCGCACACATCATCTGCCTTTCTCCGGTTCCCTAGTCGGTGGTTTCCGACCGCGAGCATCCACAAGCTTACTCAGTCATCTCCCACCGTGACTCTAGGAACGCACTCCTGGGTTCAACACCGACTCCACCAGTACTCAGGGTCTGTTTCTGTCCAGAACTCCACCAGGGAACTCAAGCCGGAGTGTGTGCCTGTGTGTGCAACTAAGCAGAAGCTAGATCAGACCACGTGGGCAACACCCTCAAGCTGAGGGCGGGGTCCGGGCAGCCCTGTTTCAAGATGGAAGAACTGCGACTTCACGCTGCTCCAGAAGTTCCCTTCCCATTGGTTGTCCGGAATTGGTTCTCCAATAATACTGACGTTCATTGGCCGATCTCGAGCTGTTGCTGAAGGGATTGGTGCAGCCGCCACCGTGTGCGGCTCGCGGATTTTTCAAATTTAACCGGGTTCCTGGAAGTGAAGGAAAAGGGCGGAAAAAGGTAGCCCGAGTGGAGGCGGGACTAAGGACATAGAAGCCCGCATTGGTTCTTTCGAGACCTAAGGGCGGGCCGTAAACGCTTCTTTCTCGTGATTAGTCCGAGTCGGGGGGAAAAGGAGGCAGGTGGCTCCGCAAATCGGCAGATGCGCTTGCTTCTATTGGTCAATCTCAGAGGAAGGCGGAGCTTCCTTGGCAGCTGATTGGTGTAAGAAGTGAAGTGGGTGGGACTCTAGACCGGAGGTTTTGTTGTGAGGGTCGGTTGTCAAGCAGCGACCAATCAGGGCAGAGGATGGAAGCAAGTGGGGGTCGCGCCTGGAGGGAAGTCTTGGCCACCAAAGCTACAGCTGCAGGTAGAGTGGCCCCCGGGGCCTTGGAGGCGAAGGAAAGATGGCTTTGGTCTTTGCGGAGCCTGGAGGGGACAATCGCGGCGCCGGCAGAGGGCTCTGGGCCAGGGAAGGCTGGGGCCGGTGCCCCTCAAGACAGAGGGGCGGAGGGTCAGGCGAAGCTGAGAAACCAGTAGCAGATTTTGGATGAGAGAGACGAGTGTGGAGGCCGGGGAGGGAAAGCTAGCGGGCCGGAAGCAGAGCCGAGGGTGTGCGGAGGACCGCATTGAGTTGGGGCTCCAGAAACAGGGGAGCGAATGAATGGGGAACTCCGATAGCAGCAGAGTGAAGGGGTGTGAAGAGGATCTGGCGAGGCGTGGTCAATTTAGGGAGCTCAAAGTGTGCCGGAATGGGAGCACAGGTGACCGGAGAAAGGGAATGTAGTGAGAGTTGACGAGCCGTGGCTGTGGCAGGCTCCATCCATGCCGTGGCCTTTTAGAAATGAGGAGTCATTCCGACTCACGCCTGTACCGGAGACCCAGTTCCCAGCTCTGTCCTTGAGAATAGCAAGAGGTGGGAGTGGTTCCCTTCCTGGGAGCTGGGGAAAGAGGGAGCTAGAGGACTGGACCCTCAGAATCCTCTGGAAAACCACTCCTCTCCGAAGGCCTTCACTATCAGTCTCTTCACACTCACATTCTCCCTCTCCCTGTGTGTGTGGTGTGTCTGCCTTTCTGGTGCCTCTCATGGGCCCCTAAACATAGCCTCGGACTCCAGCGCCTCATCCGATACAGGAGGTGCAAATCTGCCTGAACTGCAGACACGTGGTCCTCTCCGTCCCGATGCAGTTGTTGACACTTAAGACAGTCAGCATCCTGGAGCACAGCTTTCGGCCTCTGGGAAATCAAGTCAGTCTTCCTTTCAAAGAGAAGAAGATCCGCCTGCTTCCGTCTGTGCTCCTGAATGCTGGGGTTGCTGACACCACCAGGCCCAGCTACTTAGGGATGGTCTTTCATCTTTGGGCTCTAAGTCACAGAGGTTCACCTGGTCAGGTTTTCAGGCCCAGTGTGCACTACAGCCCCAGGCCACGAGGGCTTTCGTGGACCTGCATCAAGTGGCCTTGGTGACCCAGGGAGCTGCAATTCACCTCAAGTACTTGCTCACACACCATCACCTCTGCTTGTATTCCAGACCAGTGTTGAGCTGAGATGGCCCAAGCCTGACAGTCCATGATCTGGAATCCAGACTTCCGTGTACAGGCTGCAGTTTCCTAGCGGATGATCTAAACCACCAGGCAGAGCTGGGCCAGGAGAGGAGGACTCTCTGCCTGGATGTGTGGGAACTCCCTGCCAACTTGATTGTCGGATCTGGGGGGGATCCACCCCCACCCGACAGGGAAAGCACAATCTGTTTTGTGGGTGGGGGGGTCTCAGGTGCCACCCCCTGAAGCATGGCCACCCCTGTGGTCACCAAGACTGCCTGGAAGTTGCGTAAGTACTTTTCTTGTTTCTTTATCACCCCGTTGTTTTGTGAACTGCTTGCGGCTGGGTTCTTGTCTCCTGTCCTTGGCACAGCCCTGGTGTTAGGGTAGACAGAGATGTAAATCGCACCGGGCAGGTGCCTTAATCCTTCTGAGGCTGAGCTGCCCTATCTGCACAGAATAGTTGCACCTGTGCTCTGCAGTTGCTGAGACTCCAGTAAGAGCGTGGGCTTGGTAAAGGATTTCAAGTCAAGCTGATGGGCAGAGTGTTCTGAGAAAGACTGGAAGGTGTTCTAGGATTTTTCAGATATGATCCAAGTCTGTTTCCTCCGTCAGATGAAAGTCTCGGGATGGGGGTGGAGACGCTGGCGGGGCTCTGGGTGTCATTAAGCAAAGACACTTCTGAGCTCCTTAGTCTAAACTCACTTATATTCTTTCCTTTTTTTGAGATAAGGTGTCCCTCTAGCCTTGCCTGGCCCAGGACACGTGCCTCAGTCTCTGGGGTGCTGGGAATAAAGGCCTGTGCCACCACGCCAGGCTCTTTCATATTCCTAAAAATTATTGAGGACCCTATAGGGCTCTTGTTTATGGAAGTTATACTTACCCATGTTGCTGTATTAGAAAACAGTGCTGAGACATCGATGTACTCAAACCTTACAGTAGTGAGGTCGTCACATGCTGTGTATCTTCTCGAAGACTCCTCCTCTTGGGCAAATGAGAGTACCAAAGGCCACTACCATCCTGATATTTAAGATAATAGTTTGGTTCTTCTGGACCCTCTAAAGGCTCTCGGGGATTCCTAGATCGTGTTGAAAGGACCTGCATCTGTGCAGCTGGTTGTCACAGGTTTGGTGTGCTGTCCCTGGTCCCACTCTGCTGCTAAGTGCCCCTGGGCTATTTTCAGGAAAAGGACTTTGGGCAGAGCTATTTTCTGGGTCTAGGTTTCCTCGTTTGTAAAGTGAGAGATTGGAACCATTTTCAAGTTGTTCTCCTAAGCACTAGGGTTGTGGCGAACCCCCTCCGCAGCACTCAAGGAAGGTATACTTTGAGTGGCTTTGTATTTATTGACATTATGTATCCAGTTCTTTAATGGCTTACCCTACCTGAAGGTAGAACCAGATGATAGGGAACAAGCAAACGCCAAAATACCCAAGGAGCCCAGCCTCGGGAGAACGGTAGGCAAGCACCAGATTTACATCCCTCTGTTCCCAACCCTGCCCTGAGTCTGAGCCAGTGTGTGGGCTTTGAATCAGTTAACTGATGGGGGTGGAGGGTGTGTGAGCAGCAAGTGCAAAGGCCCGGAGACAGGAAGCTTTGTACATGGGAAAGACTTATAGGAGACCGTGGGGGCTACTGCTCATTAGCAAAGAGAAAGTGATGCCAGGTAAACCTAGTGAGTTCTGCGGGGCACGTGCCCACAAGACTCTTGTCCTCAAAGGCATCAAAATATCCAAGCAGCAGGCAGTATGTTGAGGAGCTGGCAGTTTGTTGTACGAAGAGGTTTATGGCTGTATAGCATGAAACCACACAGGCTGGGCCTTCTTGGGGCTCCAGGGTGTGGTGAGGGTCAGAAGGGTCATTGCCAGTGTGGGGTGGCTGAACCCCTGCCCTTTGTGTCTTCCTCCTAGAGTGTAAGTCCTTTAGCACCTCGGGGCAGACCAAGAGTGATCCCCAGCTTTGACTGAGATTTGCCAGGCTATACTGTTAGGTCTTGGGGGGTCCTGATGGCTTATGCTGGAGGGAGAGCAGCTGCTGTCACCTGGCCTGGTGACATGGAAATCTAGTACCCATGTGTGGGCCGTTGGTGTCTAGTGTTCCCCAAGCCAAGCCAGAGAGGGAGCCTGCTGTGAGGACCGGGCATCCCTTTTGCTGGTGCCTGTCTTCCTGTCTGCTCAGGTTCCCATCAGCCCCTGATTAAAGGGGAGTGAGTCATCATCACCCCACCTCTGCCTGTGACTCTTCCAGTGCCAGGCAGCATCTGATCCCCCTGGAGGCGGGAAGCTCTTCTTCCACAGCCTCCCAGACCAGGCCTAGAGCAGATGCTTGGAAGCCCTTCTGTTACACGTTCATGGGACTCAGCCAGACCTTTCTCTTTTTACCTGAGGAGGGTGAGGACCAGGGCAGATGCCCGGGGGTCTGATGAATTCAGGGTGTGGCTGCAGAGACAACTCGAGCCTCTAGAACAGTGCTCGGCCGGGAACAGCTGCACGGCCCTCCTACTGCTCAGACAGATATATAAAGGATCACGGCTCAAGCCTGTAGGCAGCTGTCCCGCAGTGTGCCGAGGACAAGATTGTGGTTGAGATGATGACTCCAGCAAGACCCAGCTTCCTTGGGTCAGATGGCAGGTCTTCCAGTCCCTAGATTGGAAGAATCTGGGCTGACAATGAACTCTCATCCTGTTTGGTCAGCCCCTGCTTGCACCAGCTGTGCCCTGTCAGGCCCTGAAAGGGAGGTGTCATTTCAGAAGTTGTGGCTTTGTTGGGACCCTGGGCGTCTTTGGAAGCCCAGACTGTCAGGGCGTTCCTGGGCCTGTTTTCCAATCTCCTTATGGTCTGCAGCTCACACAAGAGCTACCCAGGCTGGGTAGAGTCAGACCCAGGGTGGGGGAAGGGCCCTTTACTAACAGCCATGACACCCTTCTCGTCACCCATGCCAGTCTCCAGCTGCTTTGGGCATCTGTATATTGGGGTTTCCCCTTGGCTGTGTGAGAGACCTACCCTCTCCTTCCTCCTGTTCCAGAGAAAGTTGGGGACCAGGGACCGGCTTACAGGCCTGTCTGTCTCTTGATTGAGCACTGATAAAGCCCGCAATTCCCGTCTGTGTTCCCCATGTCAGCACCCCCCTCCACGGTCCAGGCCAGGGGCTCTGGGGGGCTGTCCAGAGGCTTTAGCTCCCATTCTCGGGGTCAGCTTTGCCCACCAGCTCCTGCTGTATCTGCTGCCTCCTGCCATTATCCTTACGGAACCCACTCCCTGCCGCCCTGGGACCCTGATAGCCACTCTGTGCCTGTGTCCCGTCTTCAGTCTATCTCAGCCCATTCCTAATGAACTGGCCCTGGGGTCATGCTGTTCTCTGGACAAGGACTGTCTCTCAGAGAGGAAGAGAGACTAGACGAAGGCCACGCAGCTGGCAGAGCTCAAATCAGCACCTGATTCAGAATTCTGAATTGGGATCTAGGGACAGCTGTCTAGACAGAACTTGAATTCTTCTGAAGGTGTGTCCCAAGTGGGCTTTGTCTGTGTGGCGGCACCTGAGCAGTTGAAAAGCACTTAGGTGATACATGGGTTCATTTAGAAACGAAGCAGTTTGTTTTTTGTTTATCGTAGGAAAACATTTTCTCTGGATATTAGTGCTTAACAGAGTAGATAAAACAGGAAGCCAATTTTTAAAAGTAAAACTTAGTCTTCCCACAGTACCAGGGTGATTGGTTCTAGGACCCTCCACACAGAGAGCCATGCCTGCATGTACTCAGTCCTTTATATAGTGATGCGGTGTTCGCATGGAAACCTGCGTTTCCTCCGGGTACCTTGACTCACCTCTGTTACTTGTGATGTGCAGTACAGTGTGATGTTGTTTCACTGTTTCTTGCAGTACATTGTTTGTGGACCAGCAACGAGGACACGTCTGCTCACACCCAGCCTGATGAGTGCAGACGCTCGTTTTGTTTTGTGACAGGGTCTTGCTGGTAGCCCAAGCTGGCCTGAAACTCATGATCCTTGGGCTTCGGACTCCCAAGTGCTGAGTTTACAAGTCTGCACCAGGTGTCCGGCATTACAGATGCACCTATCCTAAGTCTTTCCCCTCAGCAGCTGGTTGAGTGTGCCTGCAGGGCGATCTCTGCAGTCTGTGTTGCCAGCTGATGGGAAGAGAAAGGAGGCCTGAGAGCAGGGCAGTGAGCTGAGGGAGAGATGGCCATCTCAGCCTCTGGCCTACACTTGGCCCTGTAGCTGGTCCTGAAGGTGGGGGGCATTATCTGAGTGTTGTGTTCAGAGCTGGTGACTGAGGAGGGCCACCTCTCCCATATGGCCTGTCAAAGTCCCCTGACGTCTTTCTTCCCCTCCTTTCCTATGTAGAAGAGATCGTGGCCCATGCCAGCAATGTGTCCTCGTTGGTGCTGGGCAAGGCCTCAGGGCGGCTGCTGGCCACTGGTGGAGATGACTGCCGTGTCAACCTGTGGTCGATCAACAAACCCAACTGCATCATGGTGAGTGATGAACCGCGGCCTCTGCTGGGGCTCCTTTGGCAGGCACTGGTGATCCCAGGTCCCCAGAGTGGCCCCGCATACCATTAGTGCTGTTCCGTTATCCGCTCCAGAAGGCCCAGGAGAACCCAAGACAGCCGGGTGGGTGGCCAGCCCTCAGGAAGAGGGGCAACACAGGTGTGGGACAGAACTCCAGAGTGCTTGCGGGAAGGCTTACACAAGCCCCACTCTCCGCCTGCCAGCTTGAGGGACGCATCTTCACAAAGGGTCAGAGGGGACTCAGCTGGAGGCCGTTCTTGACTGAGATTCCCTAGTCACGCTCCATACAGGGCTGCAGCTGCTTTCCGAGGCTGGACAGCACACGGAGAGGGAAAGCCGTCATTTCAGGCAGTTCTGTTGGTTGGAGGTGGCCCGATGATGAGTCTGTGTCTTTCTAGATAATGGAATAGAAGCACATACATATGCATGCATGTGTGTGCATGTGCACACGCGCACACAGGTTTCTCCGAATACTATCTTTCCCTTGTGTGACCTGGTTCTTTAGAATGACAGTGTCTTGAGGATTTTTCCTATGTCAACAAATACTGTTTTATAACATGCTTCTAAATGGCTTTTTGGTATCCATCACAGGGATGAACTGTAATTAGCTTAGCCACACCCTGTCATCAGCAGGACTGCTGGCTCCAGCTTTTAGGTTCTGCTAAACCACAATATGTCAAACATTCTTACTTGTTGAGACTTCTGAGCAGACCCCTGATCACTGCATCTGGGCCGAGTGTGCAGTTCTGAGAAGTTGTCACACGAGCTCCAAGAAGCCACTTTCCATCTTCACCCACAACACGGAAGTGTGGCTGTGCCCTGTGTCCTTGACACCTTAGGCGATTGTCATTTTTTTTGTCTTTTGACTAAGTAAACAAAAAATGGAGACAGTGATAACTGTTAGTGGAAGTTTGGTTATTTCAGTGATTTCATGAGACTGGGCGAAACTGAGACCTACTCGGATCTTAGTCATGGTTAGTACGTCAGGGTTCAGTAAGAGAATTGCTCTTTTTATTTTTTCCTTATGATGTATTGATCTTGGTTTTATTTTTGCGTGTGTGTCTGTAGAAGTTAAAGGTGGCACTGGATCTCCTGGAAGTGGAGTTACAGATGGTTGGTAGCTGCCATGTTTATGCTGGGCATTGACTCCAGGTCCTTTGGATGAGCAGCCAGTGCTCTTCATCACTGAGCCATCTCCCCAGCCCCATTTTGTTTTGTTTTATTTGGAAGACTCGAATGTTTTCATCCCCCATAAAATGCCAGAGTAACATTCCCTGCCTTGAAAAGCGATCAGCATAGGCTAGAGATGTGGCTCAGCGGTGGAGTGCTTGCCTACATATTTAAAAAAATATATTCACCCAAAAGAAGGTAAGTGCTAAAGTGTTTTTCTCTGCGGTGACTTCTGTGTCCTCCTGGAGATGACTAGGCCTTCAAATTCCTTCTGTGTCCTAGAATTATTCAGTCCACGGACAAGCAGATACCTGTTTCCCTCTAGTCTCATTCTGTGTACATACCTGGCCTCATGGAACTCAGTCTTCCTCGTGTTTGAAAGGTTACTATAATGGGCGTTTACATGGCCTCTGGTCTCTTGTCATGAAAAACCTTGGGTTTGTGCTTACAGAGAATAATTTCCCTGAAGAATGGTGGTGCTATTGTTTTTCTGAGACAGAGTCTTACTGTGTAGCCCAGGCTGACCTTGAGCTTGGAGATTGTCCTACCTCAGAGACCAGAGATGTCCTTACTGCTGGGATTGCAGGTGTGTGTTACCACACCTGGCCTTGGATTGTGCGTTTGGAGAGAACATGTGTTTCTTATGGGGGCTGTTTTGCTCAGTTGTGATCCTGGAAGTCTGGACCCATTCAGATCCCCTACCATTGTCCAGCAGGAGCCAGGCAAGCTGCTCTAACTATAAGGCTTCGAACATTGGTTCTGAGGAATGCCCCCTGCTTCCCACATGTCCCCATCAGGAATGTTTCCTTAGTAAACACTGGTGAAATGGCCACTGTGCTTTGAGGGGCCAGCATTGAACAGAGTGACAGACACAATGGACTTGGGTTCTGGCCTTCCCTCTTAAAGCTAAAGGTGACAATACCTTACCTGATCCAGCTGTCCCTGTGGGTGCTCTGGGTGTGCATGAACCTGCCCGCTCTCCATCAGACCTTCCCAGGCCCCTGGAAGCATGGCGCAGGCAGCCCCTGGAGTCAGGCACCCCGGGCAGGCAGTGCAAGTGTGTTTCTAGCTTGCTGTGGTCTCTATGATCAGACAGAGGAGATAGAGATGGGGATAGCCTGGATGGGATCATTCAGACTCGGGGTAAAGGTCCAGCATCTCCTTATCTTGATCTCCTTTCCCTTCCAGTGACCTGGAGCCATTCCCATAGGTGATGCCCATGCCAGGAGCACGGAGCACTATAGAAGGGAGAGGGATGCCTGGGGATCAGTCAGGGTCTCAGCATGTAATCAAGGCTGGCCGGGATCTTGTTATGTGGTTCAGACTGGGCTGGAACCCACCATCCTCCTGCCTCTGCCCCACAGACGATGGGGTCACTGGTGTTGAAGGGCTGCTTTATCCATTGTGCTGATGAACTGCCATGCTCAGCTGAGTTAGGGCATAGGTGGGGCCCCCCGAGAGCAGCTCAACACTCTTTACTTCTTACTGAAGCTATTCTCAGGGACCCTCAATTTGGGACAGTAACTGGGGGGTTATCCCTGCAGTCCATTGGAGCTGCCACCCTTTCTCCGCAGAGCCTGACAGGTCATACATCCCCTGTGGAGAGTGTCCGCCTCAACACCCCTGAGGAGCTCATCGTAGCCGGTTCCCAGTCAGGCTCCATTCGTGTCTGGGACCTGGAAGCTGCCAAAAGTAGGCCTCCCTGCTTACTGTTCCTTTGTGTGTGTGTGTGGTGGGGGGGCACTTCAGGCTCGGGGCATTGGGCTGCCGCCTCCAGGAGGTCTAGGTTCTTTGTTCCCCCAAGCACTGACCAGAATGGGTAGCATGTCGTCCATGGCACTCTGTCAGTCCAGCAACAATAGGCACTGCCATCCCCCAAGTGCTAACATGAACAGTAAGGTGTGTGTGTTTATATGTGTGTATTTGGAACCTGGAAGGACATCACTGAAGGGGATATCCTGCAGGTAGGTGAATAAGTGGATGACCGTGTGGGAAGAGCCACTGAGATCCTGGGAAGCATCCCACGTCAGGGTAGATGTTGGGTGGCTGGATCTTCTGTTTGCCCCCCTTCCATCTGTCACATACTTTGAAAAGTCCATGTCAACTTGAACCTTGGTGGCATGAGGAAGTCTTTGCCACATGCTTACCCTGTTCTGGGGCCTCTGCTTCCCCCACTGTTGTGCCCATCAATACCACCCCTTTCCTAAACCTATGGTGTCACACTTTCTTTAACAAAACAAGTTGGTCCCTTACAATGGTGCCTGCCTAAAATCCCAGCATTCAGGAAGCTGAGGCAAGAGAATAGCTGTGAAATCGAAGGCCAGCCTAGCCTATGGTGTATTAGCCTACTGCAAACAAACAACCCTCAAATAAAAAAAACATACCCCTGCAATGAGAGACAGGACTTGGCTCTCAGCAGCTGCCCAGACCTGAGCCCATTGCCCCCACTTCTCTTCCTGTCCTTGCAGTGACACCATTTATATGGTCAGTGTTTGTGCTGTAGGGACCCCGTGTGTCTCTTTCTGTGACCTGGTTTCCCTAGAGTGAACAGTTGCTCCTTTTTCCGTATGCATTTTCAAAATCCCTGTCAAAATCATCATCACAAGGACACTGCTAGATGGGTCAGCTTTGACCAGTCCTGCATTCCGGCGCTCTCTTCCTCAGTGCCTGGGAGCCCTGGAGCTGCAGGCTAGCCCATCACCCTCACCTCCTCACCTTGTCTTTGCTGTCCTGAGACCTATAGTGTCCTCTTCTGTGGCTTCCTGCTCTCCAGATGATCTACTAGGAAAAGATGGAGGGAGCTGGGTGTGGTGTCACCAGGACGAGCCCAGGACACAGAGGCAGGAAGATTGCCTGTTCAAGTCCATCCTGTCTCAAAATGCAGGGGCAAGGGACACAGCTCAGTGGTAGAGCTTGCCTGGCATGTGTGAGGCCCTGGTTTGATCCCTGGCTCTAAAGGTGAATGGCAGGCACAGTGTTAGGAACCCTCTATGACTGAAAGTGACTTTATCCTATCTCTGTTCTTTAGAGTTCAAGTGTAGAATTCTATTGGAGATAATTTTCTAGTGGAATTTTGAAGGTGTCAACACGCTTCTTTTAGGTTCCAGAGTTACCGGCAGAATCTGGTGCTGCTTTTCGCTGGTCCATCACATGGGATCTGCTTCTCTCTTCCTTCTTCCTCCCTCAGTTTGTAGCAGGCGTCCCAGCCTCGAGGGTACAAGCCCTTCTGCGGGCGTGTTCTCACATCTGAGCTTGGACCTCACAGGTTCCTTTTGGTCGAGAAACTCACCCTGGGGTGTGTCACACAAAGCTCTGCCTTCTCTGTGGATGCTACCAGCCCCAGTACCCCCCAGCTTTGTCAGAAGAATCTGGAATTTGATGTGGAATACCTCCTCTCTGCAGTATTGACAGCTAACTAGGCATGTTTTACCATCCATATTCAGGACAACCTCAGGAGATCCGAGCAGAGTTGGTTTGCTTGCCTTGGGGGCCACCTGCTGCAGCTCAGAGGTCCCAGCCTTTTGTCCAATGAGAACTCCCTGAGCTTGGCTGAGCCTAAAAGCCCCTTCTGGCACAGGCTGCTACAGAAATCAGGAGTGAGAACCCAGAGAAACTTCAGGGACACAGGGGCTCTGAGAGCCACAGTTAACACCAGGCAGAGGCTGAACAAACACTCCACTGGGAGACCATGGAGGTCCGTACATGTGCAGGCAGCTTCCTGTCTCCTCTACTCCGCAGGCCCTAGAGCTGTGACCAAGGCTAGACATCCCCTGGGAGAGACAAGTAAGGGCAGAAGTCATGACAGAAGAATGTGGTCCTGCCAGCTCTCCACAGTGCTGGGAGCTAAGGGCGCAGGCCTGTAGATCCCACAGGAAGGCACCCTTACCTCAAGAAGCTGGCCTGTGTTGGGTAAGCCCCACCACGGCCTCTTGTGCCTGAGTTTCCCTTGCTGTGGCAACGAGGCGAAAGATGGCTAGGGCAGCATGTTGCCCAGGCTTCCTGAACTTCCAGCAGTGCGAGACAGCTAAGTAACAGGGGAAGCCAGGGCTCAGTGTGGGTGTAGTGGAGTTGGACATGCACTACAAGGATGAGTCAGGGATCTTGGCAAGGTCCTCAGGCGTGAGGAGGAGGTATCTTCCCAGCTGTAATGTCTGTCTGAAACTGAACATGGAGGTGAGATGGACAGTGGTCCTGGGCCTCAGGACGGACACTGGCTAGGGCCGCCATTCCCTCTGTGCTGTTCCTGCCTGGACAGCTCTGGCTGCACTTCACTCCTGAGGCCCAGGTGGGATGTCTCACCATCCACCCACCTCCTGGCACTGAGCTAACATAGCTTGCTGAACACCAGAAATGATCAGCGGGTGCACAGTGACAGGGGACGCCAGCCAGCCATAGCCCTGAGTAGTGTGTCCTCGCTGAGCCCACGAGAGGGAGAAGACGCGGGCTGTGAGGTCTTGAGGAGGAAGAGTGAAGAGCCAGAGAAGAGACTGGAGGAGGTGAAGGCAGGCCTCCGGGAGGAGACTAGAACTGCACAGTCCCACTCTGAAGTACTTGGTGTTCATTTTAGTTTTCATTGTAAACCAGCCTGAAGGTCCGAAGGGCCTAGAGATGGCCTAGACTCACACAGCAGTTCCAGAGCAGAGCCGGAACTGATCTTAGTTTTGTCAGGCCACCACGCCAATGGGTGGATTCTCCAGCAGTTACTCAGTTCATCTGTGCTTGGACCTTTACGTACCTCTCCATAACACAAGAGCTCACTACCTGCGAAACCTTGGTGCAACCTAAGGAGAGTTGGACTCTATACCCCTTGGCTTACCATAACTCATGGGCTGGGGAGCTTTATTTGGTCAGTGGAAATATAAATGTTCCAAAAAGCTACCTGTAATACTCCGAGATACAAAATTTGCCCCTGGCCTGCCAGGCCTTAGTGGATTAGATGTGTCCACAAGGCAACAATAAGTGATTATTAGTCTGCTCCTGGCTGCCTCTCCCTGGATCTTCCATTTGTTTTGGCTGTAGGGCCATGTGTAGGTGCCATCTGACTGGGCATTGTGAGTCCCAGCCATATCCTCTTGCCCATGGCTGTCCCTTGTCTTCCTGGACTCTTTAGCCAAGCAGCTCCCTCGATTGTAGCCTCTGCTCAATCCTTGGTACTGTCCTGGGGTTATTTGCCCTGCATAACAGCCCATGGACACATGGCCTGGACCAAGCACCGTTGTGGCTGCTGCTGCTCAGGGACCTTGGCACACACAAACTATGGGTAATGCCATGCATTTTCTGGGGACTTAAGTAGTGACAGAAATGGCTATAGAACTGTTAAAGTGGCCCAGTACTGGCTGATCGCCCCTATTTTCCTATTGGCATTCCAGTTTCTGTGCCAAAGGGTACACACAGATGGGCTTGGCAGCATGCTGCTGGCCAGCTAGCATTTACATGGCTCTATTTTTGCTTTGTTAGTTCTCCGCACACTCATGGGGCACAAAGCCAACATCTGCAGCCTGGATTTCCACCCCTATGGCGAATTTGTGGCCTCGGGTTCCCAGGACACAAATATCAAGGTAAGGTACCACTGTGCCTATGTCAAGTGTAAGGGAATCCTTCCTCCATGGCAGAATCCTGGGGACAGAGGACCCATGGACTCTGGTCAGACACTTTCAACTTGGGATGTCCAGCTTGAGTAAGCCTTCCAGCCTTTCTTTTTGGGGCTGTCATGACCTGGAGGTATACAGAGGCCTCTCTACTCAGAGCTGCAGAGTACCCTCTGGCCTACCCTCCAGGGCCATCACAACCTCTCATGATCCACCCTGCCTACCCACACCCCTGCTCTCTCTCCTACAGCTCTGGGACATCAGGAGGAAAGGCTGTGTCTTCCGATATAGGGTAAGCATGGCTTGTGTCGGTTACCTGTGATCTTATGTGACATGAGTCACAGCATGGGTCCATACCACAGTGGGCCTCGGGGGCTGCAGTCCATTGCAGGTTAAACCTCAAAATACACCTGAAGTAATGCAGTGCCTTGGGTGGTCTGTCTGGACCCCCAGCTTCCCACCAATCCCCAGAGTCACACCTGTTAAGCTACTCCATGATCTGCATTTGCAATCAGGTAACTAGCTGGTGTCCCTAGGTGCAAGGCTTTCTGTTCCTAGGTGTGTGGCAGTACTGTGAATGACAGAATCCTTCTTGGAAGAGACCATAAAATACTTTTAGGATGTAACAGACTGCACAGTTGTGATTTCTTAGAGGCCTGGGAGTCTGGCCACATAGAAGTGTCTCTCATGTCTCCCAGCAGTAACTATGCATCCTTTCTGTGGCTGGTCCTTATGAAGGCCCTGTGTTTCAGGGAAGCCATTGGGGATGGGAAGGTGCGGTGGGACCCAGGCCCCTCCAAAGAGCTTGGTTCTTTTCATCTTCCTCAGGGGCACAGCCAAGCTGTGCGGTGTCTCCGGTTCAGCCCTGATGGGAAGTGGCTGGCCTCGGCAGCAGATGACCACACAGTGAAGGTAACTCCTGACCCTGGTGTGCAGGCTGGGCCCAGAGGGATGCTGATCATACCCAGACTGTGTCCTCACCTCACTGTTAACTGGGTGTATGGGGTCCCCAAACTTGTTGAGAGTAGAGGGAGCTCAGGCCCAGAGCCAAGGGCCCAGCGTGGCCCTTAACCTCTTCCCACCCTGCTCCAGCTCTGGGATCTGACAGCTGGCAAGATGATGTCTGAGTTCCCTGGTCACACAGGGCCTGTGAACGTGGTGGAGTTTCATCCCAATGAGTATCTCCTAGCTTCTGGCAGCTCTGACAGGTGAGGAGGAATAAGGCGCATTGCCTGACAGTAGTCCCCACCTTCTCTTACCCCGTCATATGCCTGAAAGCCTGTGTGGGCTAAATTTTAAGCCAGGATTAGTTCCTGGTCCCATTTCTCCCAGGCTAGAGTCCTGGTCTTATACTTTCCTGGCCTGTTAGGACCCACACCCCCTAGCGGAGCACAGTGCAGGGAAGCCTCCAGCAGGTGGGGTTGGCTCTGGGGTAGGGCTGTCAGGACCAGCCTAGGTCATTTTACCCTCTGCACGCACAGGGCCATCCCTGCCCCAGACATCACTCCTAGTGCCCCTGCAGGGAGGGTCCTGGAGAGGCCCTGGACAGCATGAGGGACTGGCTTCCTGTGGCCACCTTTGTAGGACGATCCGCTTCTGGGACCTGGAGAAGTTCCAAGTGGTGAGCTGCATTGAAGGGGAGCCAGGGCCTGTCAGGTACGTAGAGCACATGGGCCCCTCACCTGCGCAGTGGGATGTCGGTAAGGGTGATTTTCCCTGCCTCTGCCTCTCCTCTGTCCTGGGCTCGCCATCTCTCTGGGGGTCAGGTACAGTTGACTGACAGCCAACTCTCACCTGGCCTAGGAGTGTCCTCTTCAACCCCGACGGCTGCTGCTTATACAGTGGCTGCCAGGACTCGCTGCGCGTCTACGGTTGGGAGCCTGAGCGCTGCTTTGATGTGGTCCTTGTCAACTGGGGCAAGGTGGCTGATCTGGCCATCTGTAATGACCAGCTGGTGAGAATCAAGTTACCCAACCCTCCCCCTGCCCCTCAAGCTTCCGCCTTCTACTGGGCCTCCTGGGTTCTGGCCCCACCCCACATCAGCTCTGCCTGTCCTGCAGATAGGAGTGGCCTTCTCCCAGAGCAATGTCTCCTCTTATGTGGTGGACCTGACGAGAGTCACCAGGACAGGCACTGTGACCCAGGACCCTGTGCAGGCTAACCAGCCTCTGACACAGCAGACCTCCAACCCTGGTGTCTCCCTCCGCCGCATCTATGAGCGGCCCAGCACAACCTGCAGCAAGCCTCAGAGGTGGGTGCTCGTGGCTTTGGCAGGGTGCATGTCCCAAGGCGGCTCCTGCATACTCAACCCTGGGCCTCACTGAGGATGCTGGCCTCTTCGGCTTGACTCTGTACACGCCAGGGTAAAGCACAACTCGGAGAGTGAGCGGCGCAGCCCCAGCAGCGAAGATGACAGGGATGAGCGTGAGTCCAGGGCCGAGATCCAGAACGCTGAGGACTACAATGAGATCTTCCAGCCCAAGAACAGCATCAGTGAGGCCACTCTCTCTCCTACCTCCAGCCCAACTCCTCGCTGTGGCTGTATCCCCTAAACCTTACCTCCTCTCCACATTTTTGTACTGGGCTAGTTTCTAAAAAGGGAACCTGGACATTTGCAGCAGAGGTCCAGCAGCTACTCACTGTGACCCCCTACCCTGCTTGAAACCAAGAGGGCCTATAGGTGCATATGGGCTCGTGGGGTCAGGAACATGTGCTCGGGGATCACCTTCTAGTCATGTGTCTATCTTGATTAAGACCTTGGCCACACATAAAGCCTGTTCCCAGAGAGCTTACGGGAACCCAGTTATCAGCCCCTTTGCCTTGGCAGGTCGGACACCGCCTCGGAAAAGTGAGCCCTTCCCAGCGCCCCCAGAAGATGGTGAGTTGGGAATAGCTGGCCTGGGGACCAGGCCTCACCTCTCACTGCAGCCCCTAGCCTACCCAATTAGATCTTGTCCTGTGCCTGCCTAAAAGTGCCTGCCTACCATGTGCCTAGCACACAGAAGGCCCTGGAGGCAATTTAAGTAAGGCAGGCAGTGCCTCCTTCAAGCCTATGCCTGATTGCCTGGAGAGAAACAAACACAGGTGGACTGCCCATGGGGTGTGTGCCACTGAGGACTGGGTCTACTATAGATATGGGGAAGCAAGACTCCGAGAGGGCTGAGGGCTGGGGGTAGAGAACCAGAGGATCGGGACCCAGACCTGGAGCAGGAGCCAGAGAGAGCCAAGCTGCAGGCCAGACCCATAGAGCCCCGGCCAGGAGTTTGGTACTGAAGAAAGGGACCATCCAGTCTGCTTTGGGATAGCAAAGGGTCCATCTGTAGCAGCATCTCTATCCTCCTGGCTCCCCTTGGGGACCCAGTGCTGCTGCTTTATTTTAGTGAGGCTGTTCTGAGAAGCCCTCCTTGTTTCCTGCTCACCCCCACTCATCTGCTGCCCTCTTCCTGTACTCCATTCCTAATGGCAGGATTCCCCTGAAGCTGCTGGGTCCCACCTCCACACACCCAAGGACAGCCCCTGCCTCAGCCCCCACAGGATGCCTACCTGCTGCAGATCTCCCTGCGCCCAGCTCCCTGTCCCCGTCCGCCTGCTGACACCTGCTCCTTCCCAGCTGCAGCTGTCATGGAAACCCATCCTGACCTCTTCTCACCGGGTCCTTCTAGTCTGATAGTGAGCTTTTCTTTCTACTCCTAGACACAGCCACAGCAAAGGAGGCCTCGAAACCTAGCCCAGCCATGGATGTGCAGCTGCCGGTGCCAAATGTATGTCTGAGCAGAGAGGATTCCTATGGGTCTGAGCCAGGGTGGGGACCTTCCTGTCAGGAGCTGTGGGAGGACTCGGGCTGATGTAGCTGAGCCTCTGCTCCCTGCAGCTCGAGGTCTCAGCCCGACCTCCAGTCTTGACTTCCACTCCTGCACCCAAGGGCGAGCCTGCTATCATCCCTGCCACACGGAATGAGCCCATTGGCCTAAAGGCCTCTGACTTCTTGCCCGTGAGTGGGATTTGCCCAAGAGGTGGGGTTGAGGGCTAAGAGGAGAATGGAGTGTGCTATCTGCTCCCGTGCCAGCATCTGGGTGTCTCCTCATAGGCCGTGAAGGTCCCCCAGCAGGCCGAGCTGGTGGATGAGGATGCCATGTCACAGATACGGAAAGGCCACGACACCATGTGTGTGGTACTTACCAGCCGCCACAAGAACCTGGACACTGTACGGGCCGTGTGGAGCTCGGGAGATATCAAGGTAAAGGTGACTTCTTAGCCCGTTGCTTGGGCTTTAGGCTGGACAGAGAAGAGGCCACGCAGTGGGACCCTGGGGTACGGCAGCCTTGTGGTACCCCCGTAGCCAGCTTCCATCAGTTGAGCGCTGATGTCAGGCTGCGCCCCACCATCCTTGTTGGTGCAGTCTGTTAACGTGCTCCAACCCTGTCTGCTCCCATCCTGTGCCACCCTCTTAACGGAGCTTGTCTGCAGACATCAGTGGACTCCGCAGTGGCCATCAATGACCTGTCTGTGGTGGTAGACCTCCTGAACATTGTCAACCAGAAAGCGTAAGTGGCCTCAAGAAGAGAAGAAGGGGGTGGTCAGGGCTGGCGGGTGGCATCACACCCAGCTCTCTCTTCAGCTCGCTGTGGAAACTGGACCTGTGTACCACAGTGCTGCCACAAATTGAGAAGCTTCTGCAGAGCAAGTATGAGAGGTAGGGAGCCCCTCCATCCCCGGAAGCCATCAGTGGAGTAGGCACGTGTGTGCATGTGCCCTGCCTGTGGAGGACCCCTCTGTCTCCCATCTGCTCGCTGGCTCTGGGCCCCATCTATGTATGACTCCATCTCCTTTGCTCCTGAAGCTATGTCCAGACTGGGTGCACCTCCCTGAAGCTGATCCTGCAGCGGTTCCTGCCCCTCATCACTGACATTTTGGCAGCCCCACCTTCTGTGGGTGTGGACATCAGCCGGGAGGAGAGGTAAGGGGCATGATGCATGCTGCCCTCGGCCTCCGTTGTGGGTAGGTGTGCCCAAACAGCCCGCAGTGAACACTGCCAAGTGGCTCAGGATGTACGGGTATGGCCGAAGCATGGGTTCCTCCCTGGTCTTGCTTGACCCTCCACACTGGCATGGCTTGGGAGACTTTCTTGTGCTCTTAGGAGGTGCTGGAGTGGTTGGTTAGGGGAGCGAAAGCCCGAGGCTTGCCGGCATCCTGGCCAGGTGGGGTGGCCTCCGTCATCAGCTGCTGCCTCTTGGCCTACAGGCTGCACAAGTGCCGACTCTGCTTCAAACAACTCAAGAGCATCAGTGGCCTCGTCAAGAGCAAGTCAGGTCTGAGTGGCCGCCATGGCAGCGCCTTCCGTGAGCTGCACCTACTCATGGCCAGTTTGGACTGAGGAGCTTACCCGTGGGTCTTACACTCTAGTTCGCTGTATGCCCGTGGCCCATGAGCCTCAGCTTGGCCTCCACTCTTGCCCTGATGGCCATCCTGGAGACAGCATCGCCAGCCCACTGACCACAGTTGTGGACTTACAACTTCCTCTCCAGCAGCAGCTGAACAGTCTTGCTTCTCAGGGCAACTCCAGCCTCGGAGCTGCTGCTGTAACTTATCAGGCAGATTTATTAAATGTATAACTGTTCCTGACTTCCTTATAAGAGATATCCTCTGGCTGTCCCAGACACCGTGGCCTGGAGGTTTGTGGAGGCTGAGACTATCCTCCTCTTCCCAGTGCAGCTTCTGGATGTGGCCAGCAAAGGGCTGCCTGGTCAGCTTGACTCTGGGGAAGGGGAAAGGTGTATCTTACCCACACTGCCAGTTGTCCTTGGGCTCTTTTGAGGCCAGTGGATGGATGTCCAGCCCAATGACTGCATAGCCAGAGGGCAGGACCCCGGCCTTATGGCTAGCTACCACTCGGTTGGCTAAGAGCCATTAACCCTCCCTCTGACCTCTAGATGCCTTGAGGACTAGACCAAGATGTTGGATGACGAAGACTAGAGTGGCTTTCAGAGCCCACAGGAATCTGCGCTTCCTGGCTGGATGAGAACCAACCGCTGCCCTACAGGACAGCTGTTGATGTGCCTAGCAAGACGTCGGGGCCAGGCACAAATGTGTAGGTAGGGAATGGGGTCATTACTAGTGGCCATAGTTCCAAAGACTGGGAGCAAAGGCCAGCCCAGGGTGAGCAGTGAACTGACAAACCTGACAGCTCCCTGTAACATGGAAGTGAGACCACGATGGGATGGGACAATGGTTATAGGTACACATGGGGTCTTCATAGTTGAGATCATAACCAAAATGATAGACAGGCATGGGAACAGGAAGACTCCTGGCTCCCAGTGGTCTTTGGTGGTAGCTTCTAGAGTCTGTATGGCCACTTAGTGGGGAACAACAGGGCATAAAATGTCCACTCTCCATGATCCATACACAGGGTCTCCCAGTACCAATGACTCAGACTATGCTCATGTAAAAAGACATTAATTTTAATAAGTAAAAATGGCTAAGCTTCCAAAAGTTCTTAAATAGGATTTGGGGAGAGGAACATGTTGAGAATCAGTGGGCAGGGAGAGTGCCTGGTGTCAGACAGATGAGCAGGACCCAGCCCTGTCCACTGGCCTCTGCCAGCCATAAATACAGCCCAGACCCCTGACAGGGTGGGGGCTCCTATATACACCTTAGAACATTTATATACACACTCCAGTGAGGGACCCCCTCCCTAAGGAGGGTAAGCAGAGATGCTCTTACTCTCTCCAGCCCCCAGCTGGTTCCTCAGCCTTCCCCACTAGTAGGGACTACCCTCCCTGCAAGGGCTGGACTTCCATGGCTTCAGCCTACCAGGCAGAATACCATCCCCACCCTTCCAGAAGCCCACGCTTGGGTGCCTAGAGCCACACACAGACTCGCTTCCTTCTGAACATGTTTCTCTGGGGAGAGGCAGGGCAGGAGAGCCTCCACACAGGCCTCCATCTCCTGCATCCATGATGGTGTTAGGACAGGTAGCCAGACCACAGGGCCCAGCTCCAGGCCTGGCAGCGTAGCACATCCTCACACAGGCACTGGCCTCAACTTCCCTGAAAAAGAAGGGTGCTCTCAGCCTCCTGCCTCAGCAGGCGTGCCCACAGCAGATGCAGAGCAGGAGGCCAGCAGAAGCATATGGACAGCAGGCAGCGGAGGACAGGCCCAGCTCTGTACCACGCAGCCCTAGCAGAGCCCTGCACCAATAGCAGACAGCAGGCAGGCAGCCCCAGGCCGCTGGCCCACACTCACCTGGAGACTGCAGCCCCAGCCGTCAGGCTGAAATCAAAGTGATAGACATCTCACTTGCAGAGTTTTGACCCATCTGCCACCACCCCTTTTGGACCCAATGAGTGGCCTGGCCTCCAAATGATGAGGCAGGAATCCCGGGTCACAGCCCTGTGATGGGGCCTCTTTTCCGCTGGGGATGGCTGGACTGCTTTGTGGGAGGTGGGGGGCTCTGCTGGGATGAGGGCTCCTTTGTGCACAGCATGGGCCTTGAGTAGGTAGCACATGCTAGGAGTAGGAGCTTCTAGGGCCAGATTCTTTGTCAACCTCTCCAGGGGCTTGGGACTCAGTAAAGCAGTTCTGCCTTCTGTCCAGAGCAGGCAAGGCACGGAGACCATTTCTAAATGTGGTTTTGGGGTATTGAGGATGGAACCCAGGACTTCCCACATGCTAGGCAAGCAGCTTCCCTTTGGGGGAACAGTGTCACTATATAGAACCTTCTCTGGCCTAGAACTCACTGTGTAAACCATGCTGGCCCAGAACTTGCAATCTTGCCTTTGCCTCCCAAACACTGAGGTCAGGCACAAGTTACCATGCCTGACTTTACCTCCTTTTTAAAATTCCATTTTGAGACTGCATTGGCCAGGCAGGCCTCTTGTTTCAGCCTCCCAAGCAGGGAGGGGCCGCTAGGGCTGGCTCATAGGGTTTTTCTTCCCTTTTTAAAACAGCTTATCTAGGAAAGGGCAGCCTGTCAACGTGGGAAAGGCCGTCCTCCTGCCCTCCCATCCCAGTTCTCTCCCAGACAGGCTTACCTGATGGCTGCAGCTTCCTTCGGATGGAGCCTGGGCGGCTGTTGGTCCCAGAACCAGGGGCAGAGTGGGCTCGCGCTGTTGGCTGTGGTGTCTGGCAAGCTGGCTCCCACTGTGAGCAGAGAAGGCCGGTTGTTGTGGGAGCCAAGGCTGTCCTGTCTCCTCCCCTCCATCCACCTGACAATGTTCCCTCATCTACAGAGACGACTAATGAGAAGTCAGCCCAGGAATATTACCCATGAAGGAGGAAATTAATTTGCATTGCAATCCACAATGCATTGCTGGCCCCCCAAAATAAAGATGGCCTAGAGGGGCCATGGAGCTGGTATAGTGACCCCTTAGCAATCAGAAAACAGGCAGGTAGATCTCAGTGAGTCTGAGGCTTCCTGGTCTACAAAGGAAGTTGTAGGTCAGTCAGAGCTACAAGGTGGGAACCTGCCTCAGAAAGCAAAAACGCCACTGGGTTCTAGCTTTACCCACCTTTGTGGCAGCTTCTGCCCCCACCACTCAAGCCTGTCAGCCCTGCTCCCTACTCAGAGCCAAGCCCACGGGGGGAGGGGGGATCCTGGGGTGGGGAGGATCCTCCTCTTCTCCCTACCTCCAGATGCTCTTGGCTTGACCAGGAGCCCAGCTCTGTGCGGCGGGACCCAGGGCCCAACTCCACAGAGCGAACTCTCTCAGCAAACTTGAGGGAGTACAAAGTCTCGCTGGTGTTCTTCTCTACTGGGGACACCTAAGGGACAGAGAGTTCAGGTCCAGTCCATGCCAGTTGTCTGCCCCCATGGCTCAGGAGGCGGCAGCATGGTCACTAGAGGATGCTTCTGATCAGGGGAGACCACTGGGGGCAATGAAAATGGCAGAGGCATGGGGAGAGACTTGTGTATTGCATAAGAGTGTTGGCAGGGTCCATGTGGGATTGGGGGAGCTGACAGACAGCCTGGGGAGGCCCTTCCTGAACCCCAGACCCTCACCTGCACCACCATGAGAGTCTTGCTGTCACCACTGAGGGAGTCCTGCAGCAGGTAGGTGAGCTTGGAGTTTCGGAAGGGCACGTGGCCCTGTCGGGAACGCAGGGCAGCAATGACGTCCCCCAGGGCAGACAGTGACCTGTTGATGTGCTGTGCCTCTCGCAGGCGGTTGCCTTCAGCCCCTGACTTGCCCACACGCTCGGAACCAGCCAGGTCCACCAGGTTCAGCTTCCCTGCAGGCAGGGCAAAGGACAGGTCAGCACTGCTCAGGATAGCCCATGGAGAGTGCCTGACCGGGGTGCCCACTGTGTCTCACCCGTGGTCCGGAGGCCTGTGCTGCAGTCCATACCGCGCACTGTTACAATGAGCAGAGCGTGGGAGCGGGAGCTGTGTTCGTTCAGGTTGGTGAACTCTGTGGTGCGATTGTTGTAGCCAAACTCAAACACCTGGGAGGCAATGGGGCTCCTTTGGGAAGGGCAATGCCACCCTGTGTGTTTTATTTATATACTGAAGTTGATTTGGGTTTTGTTCGATTTTTGGGAGAGACAAGTTCTTACTACGCACATCAAGTTGCAGCTCACAGAGATCGGCCTGCCTTCTCAAATACTGGGACGAAGGGGTGTACCATCAACAGCTGGCTACTTTTTAATTTTTTGTTTTGAGACAAGGTCTCACTATGTAGCCTTAGCTGGCCTGGAACTCTATACAGACCAGGTTGATCTCAAACCTGCCACTGTCTCCTGAGTGCTGAGATCAAAGGTGTGCACCTAGTCACTCGAAGTGTTTGAGACAGGGTCTTGCTAGGTAGCAGACTGGTTTCAGATTCACAATCCTCCCGCCTTTCCCTTCAGGTGAGGACACAGGCTTCCAGAGGCCTGGGGACCCCTCCAAGCTGCACAGTCAGGTGGTGACAGAGCCCACATCTGAGCCAGGCCTGTCCTCCAGAGCAGCTGGTGGGCAAGGTCTCCCCGCCCGTCCCACACTCCTTACCTTGTTGATGTCATCCACGCTCTGCACCTGGAACTCAGTCAGCCCTGGCACATAGAGCTGCCCGCTGCCATCTGGGCACAGCCGGATCTCCAGCTTCTCCTGAGGCTCTTTCCCCAGCAGGTCTCTGGGGGGACAAGCAGGACACTACTCCCTCCCACTCTGGCCTCTGCTTGCATTGCACCCAGTCCCTAGCCTGGACTCTGCCCCCACAATCAATCTTGGAATCTTGGACAGTGGCGCTGCTGACCTTTCCTCTTCTGCCCTGTCCTCAGAAAGGGGGAAAAGGTTTCCACAGAAGTCCTAAGTAAGGGTGCACGCCCTCTGGTTGGACAGGGATCCCCACCCCCATCCCAACCAGCATAGTGCAGCCCACAACAGGAAAAGGAGCCCAGATAAGGGAGGACCTACCTCCTAGATTTGGTCAAAGTCAGCTCTAGCTAGAGGCTAGACCCAGAGACCAGGAAGCCCCCACACACACCATGAGCTCCACAGAACTCTGGCCCGGCCCACCTGAGGACCTCGTTGTAAATCTCCGCTGCGCTGACGGTGATGGTGTACTGCCAGTCAGACGCCTTCTCCTGCACCTCCGAGAAGAGCAGCTGCAGGGCCCGCTGATTAATGCCTGGGTTCTCAGGAGTCCCCTGATGGCAGAAGGAAAGGCCCAGTGGCCCTACAGATGCTCACACAGCATCTGCCACCTCACGCCCCAGGTACCCTACAGGTGAGCCTCCCTGTGAAGCTGCCTGCTGCATGTTGGCCTGTTCTCAGAATAAATATCAGGGTATTCTACTAGGAATAAGAGAGTTTCCCTACCTTTAAGGCAGCATTATCCTGCTGCCAGGAAGGTGGTGAGAATGGAAGGAGGAAGGGGGTGTGGGGGCAAAGGCCTGGAACGCCTACCCTGCCAAGCACCAGGGCTTAGGCTGAGCATCTTTCTAGCTCTTCTGTCTGGCTTAGCAGTCTCTTTACTCAGAATTCAGGGCGTGGGGATTAGTGGAGAGATAACAGGTGCCCAATGGCCTGAGCAGGACCCAACAAGCCGTTTTCTGCCAGCTCCTCTGTCCTATGTGAGGAGTCCACAGTGACCCCTGGAGAGCCAGAAAACTACCAACAAGGCAACACCCAACAGGGCTGGAGTTTTTCTATTACACTGGGCTAGAGTGTTGACTCATGCCTTTAATTCTAGCACTCAGGAGGATCTCTGTGAGTTCAAGGTCAGTCTGGCCAACATAGTAAGTTTCAGGATAGCCAGGGCTACATAGAGACCCTGTCTCAAAACAACAGCAACAAAAAAATAAGTAAATAAATTCCTCAACTTAAGTGACCCAGTCCTTGCTTACAAGGACTCTGGGCACATGGCACGGATAAAGCCCTTCTCTTAGAGCCCAGCTTCCCACAACTATAGTCACATAGGTAGCAAGTCTCTCCTATGGCCTAGGAACCCCCTGAGGGTTGAT